AATGTTACTACTACATCCCTCTGCTTTTTTCTTCTTCAACTTTTCAGTTTGTGCACTTTACTCCCTTTTCTGCTCCATCCCTCTCATCTCATTTATTCTCTCCCCTGCAATCTGTTTCCTTCCTGTCTATCTCTCTTTCATATCTGTTTTTGCCTGCGGTCAGGGAAAAGTTCCTCACTGAGATTCAGAGTCCCCGCTATGCCCGTCTGAGGGATTGGCACCACGACAGGTCTGCTCGCGCCCTCAATATTAAATCCTGAGCGACATCCTAGACGCCCTGGGACGCAGAGCCCAGCCAGAGCCGGCTAGCGATATCTACACTGCAACGACTACGTGATAAAGACGACGAAGATAGTGGACTGTCTCCTGGCAGTTAACAAATTCACCTCCTTAGATGCAGATGGACTGACAAAGAAATCTGGGGAAGCGAAGAAAAGCAAAAATATTAGAAACGTATCCTAGATGACAAAAACCTAAAGTGGAACCTTGCATACTGAGCCTAAGCATAAGATCTCCCTCTGAAATTCTGACTTGATGATTGTTGACAACACTGTGGACCATTGTGTCTGTAGCCCTATTTTCCATTTCACACTGCGTTACTCGGAGTAAACTGGTGGAAAGGTGGGGAGGGGGTCTCGGCGGTGGGAAGCACTGTTCTTTCTTCTTTGATTGTGAAGTTCAGACCCTCCTTTTGATCTCTGTCTGTCTCTTTTGCTGCCTGTTTACATTTATTGAGTTTTCATCTTTTAGAGTTCTCAGTTTTGATCCCCTCTTCTAATAGGCTTCTCGCACAATTTAAAGAAAAAAAACTGTACTTCTTTTTTTTTTTTTTTTTTCCCTGCTGTCATCAAAAATATATAAAACATCTGGGAAAAAAAGCAACTCTTGTTCTCTGTCCTTCTGTGTTTCTTTTCTTGTTTACTTTAAGCTTACAAGGGCATATCTCTCTAACAGTTCTTTTCTTTTTTTCCCCTGCTGCTAAGTCACAATTGCTTTACTTATAGTGTGCTGGACAAAAAGTGATTATATAGAAGCGAGGCTTTATTCAGTATTTATGCAGGTTGGAATTAATGGGATGTCTTAAAGAGCCAGGTTCAAGGTTTACTTTTATTGCCCCTGAGAGAAAATTGTTGTGCATTTGGGCATAAAAAAAACCCAACAAATGTGCATACTCATTTATAAAGTGCTGAGATGAACTGTGAGGAAAGTCTGTCTCGAGTTATTTGCATTTTCCTGAAATGCGGAAAAAAAAAAATGTAATCCTGAAGCGCTATAGGTTTTGACACCAGACTAAAACAAATAGGTTTGGTAGGTAATGACTTTTCATCAGTAGTATTTCTTGTAGTAATGTTTCTGGATGTATAAAATCCATAACATCTATAGTGAAGGACGTCTATAAATCCCATTTTAAAAATGTCCACAGATGAGATGATTTAGAGCTTGAGGATACAGCTTTAAACCCTTTAGCTGTGCTCACACTCGCACATCTGACTCATGCTTATACTTTGTTTCTCGTGCTGTCCAAACAAATCTCATGTCATGTAAGGGGTGTTATATAACATTATAACTGCTGCTTTATGAGGGGGAAATGGTTGGTTAACCAACGCTGGTCCATAAACATCGAAATTCAGCTTGATTGGTCTGAAGCGCACAGACCCAGGTGGAAGACGAAGATAAATTATTAGCACATACTGACAGTTTTTATAATTTGGCAAATAATTCGTTTAACAAATGCAGCAGTAGTGAGGAGAGCAGATTTATGTAATGAGCTTGTAACACACTCACTGGAAATGCCTTCCTGGTACCTGATTGGACCCAGTGTTTTCCTTCAGATCCTTACTACTTTGTGCTTATAGACTCAACAAGGTGCTGGAAACATTCCTGGGAAATCTTGGTCCATACTGACATGACAGCATCACACAGTTGCTGCAGATTTTTCTTTTGGCTGCAAATCTATGACGTGAATCTCCTTTTTCATCGCACCTTGAAGGTGCTCTGTTGGTTTGAGATCTGGAGGTCAGGTGATCTGGCCGTGTGAGTACAAGGAGAAAGCAGTTTGAGATGGATATGAACCATTGGAAGATGAATAGTTTGTTCATACAGGACATGGTCAGCAACAATGATCAGGTAGGCTGTGCTAAAGGCCTCTAAGAAAATGTCCTCCACACTGTTACGCCACCACTCGGCTGAAGCATACAAGACTGGATGGATCCATGTTTTCATGTCGCAGCATAGTCAGAGACTGATCAGTCCTGGCAACATTTTATCGGTCTTTTGTTTCCAATTTTTGGCAACACGTGCATACTTTTGTAAAAGTGCCTGTTTAAGTTGCTTGTTGCCTTCAACAAAACATTTTTGATACAGAGAACTGCTGCTTACTGGATATTTTATCTTTCAGACCATCTTCTGTAAACCTCAGAGATGTTTTTGTGGGAAATTCTGGTAGATCTGAAATACTCAGACCGTGCTGTCTAGCACAAACGACCATGATGAATTCAAAGAAATCTAAATTGCCTTTCTTTCTCTTTCCGATGCTCAGTTTGAACTTCAGCGGGTCATCCTGACCATGTCTACAAGGGTAAATACATTCCGGTGCTTCCATGTGATTGGCTGGTTAGTTATCTGGATTAAAGAGAAGCAGGTGTATCAAATGAAATGGCTGACAAATGTGTTTTAATGTATAGTGAAGTTGGAGGTATTACTAAGTGACTAATTAAGAAATATTAGTGGAAAACTAGCTAGAGTAGGAATGTATCCAGACCAATGTGCTAAATTAGACAAGTTAATCGAGTCAAGCATCAACTTGTAGAGAAATTTCAACTGTAAGAGAGGATTTCAGAGGGGAAAAAATCAATGTGTAAAAATATTACTTTATATCTGTAGAAATAACAGTAAGCAGGAAGATACTGAAGAAAGCTTTGTGCAAAGCTTAGATGTGAAGAGCCAATAGGAATGAGGTTTCTCATTCAGCCCTCCTAGGCATGTGCCACCACTGTCGCACATGGTTTTTAGTCACATTCGACTTCTTGCAAAGCTGCATCACCTTTACCTCCTCACTGGGTGGAGGGGTGACACATGTCAGAGGCTTGTTGCTCCATGAAAAATCAAAACCTGCTATTTCCTTTGCCGGATGCTGAGCTGCCAGCAAAGTTCTCTGCTTTCCTCGTTGCTCAGGTTGATGCATCCCACAGGAGTGGATACCCAAAAAGGGGGGAGAGAAAAAAGAGAAACCGGTACAGATGAATCTAAAATCAGAGCTGCAAAGGATGAACAAGAAAAGTGAAAGGAAATGCTCCAGTCAAAAGCTAAATAAATAAATAAAAAATCCCGTCTGCACAGCCTCTGATAGAGAAAATGTGCACCTGCATCATATCAAGCCTCTTGCTGAGCAGGGAGGAGGAGGGGGTTTGAAAGCAGGGAAAATGTCAAGGATAACGCAATCTAGGCTGCTCCAGGTGGGAAGAAGCCGACATAGAGGTGTAGTGCAATTTGCACCTGCAACATTCATCATAGTGAGGTGCAGCAGAGAGAAGAAAGAAACCTCATGGTTGCGAGACAGCCGAGCCATCGGCCTTTCAACACCTACGGGCAGCCTGGCAAGGGAATGTAGCCGGGGCAGCGGTGTTGAATAGGAGTTTGTTTTGTCAGTTGTTAGGTGAGGTCCCAGATGTGAGGCTTGTCAGTGTGTCTGTGGAGTGGAGGGCAGCTGACCCATGGTCTGTGAGTCACACACAGGCAGAAACAGCCTCTGTCCTTTGTTTGACTCCATCAGCAGACATCCTGCTCATCCAGCCTTCTGACTTCCTCTTACGCATTTTTCTTTCTTTCTGCGGGTTCTTTGCAAAAATCTCATGGTAGGAGGTCTTGCGATCCTTAATTTAGAAAGATTTAGCTTCCTTACTGTCACTAGTCCTATAAGCCAGATTCTTGGTATTGCAAAGGGATTTAATGTTCTTTATTATTCCAGAAATAGCAGACGGCTTTTAGGCTTCTTTTTTTTTTCTTGCTAGATTGCTCCTAGCTGTAACTTCTGCCTCTAGCTACAGTTTTTTTTTTTTTTTTTTTTTTTTTTTTTTCCCTCGTATTTGTTTGGCGACATAAATAACATTCTTTCATATACAGACTTAACCTGATAAAGGCACAACTATGGGATGAGGTTGGTGTAGGGTAATTGATTTCACAATCTTTCATTTTCTTTATGCTAATGAAAGGGGATTTCATCTCCTTTCATTAGTGTGTTTTAGATGGCACAGTTGATGATGTAAACACGATAGATGCCTAAGGTGCTTTTACAATCCCCGCCCGGTTCTTTTTCTCAAGATAAAAGTCTCCAGAGCTCACTGTCTTGGCTCAGAAGTTGTTTTTCTGTCTTCCGTCAAGATTTGAAGCTTTTTCTGAATATAGTGACGCTTGCTGCGGGTAACAGATCTTTGAAATGTAGAAAACGCTTTATTTCAACACTGCTGCACATGCAAGCTCTAAGCGAAACTCTTCCGCACCCAAATCTGAAAGCGACTGAGTTTCCAGTCGTCTAACTTTTGCCTAACTTTGAGCGACGTCAGCCGCCTGAGGAGATGTTGGTGTTTCTTATGCTTTCATGAGAGGCTGCGGCTCTTGAACAGCAGGGCGATGACGCTGAAATCACGTTCGACTTGATTGATTTTTGAGTCATGATAGAAACTGCTCACTGTTGCTCTTTGATACTGGTGAAATTTCAATTATTGTGCTGCTTTCAGTTAAATCTAATACACTGAATCAGAATGTGTGATCACAACAGGTGGGGGCACCACGCTACCCTGTTAATCCCAATTAATATTAATAATGATGCTTGGAATCATTCACACACAAGGTAATCCGTGGCACAGCATAATGGTGACAGCTTAGCCATGGCAGGAGATATCCAAACATGGCATCCATTGAGAAGTAACTATAGTAGGTGTGTGTGTGTGTGTGTGTGTGCGCATGTCTACCTTTTCTAATTAGTCATTTTCTCCCCACAGCCTTGAGCCAACTCCCTCACCTGCCAAGGCCCAAGCAGTAAATAAACCAGATGGTGAGTTTCTTCTCCTGCTGATGCGTTAAAAAGAGCCCCAGCAGCCTCCGGGAGAGGCTGCGCTAATCGATTCTAAGTCTTAAGTGTCAATACAGCAGCAACAACGCGACACTCAAAGTTGTCACCACATACATCTGTTTGAAGGGTGGATTGTTATGGGATTTTTTTTGTGGTGTGCAGAATCGACAAGTGCCGCCGCCGCACCAAAGAGTTCTGCTCCTTCCTGCCGACCGCCGTGGGTCTCGGACCCCAATTTTGCCGACCGCTTTCACCCAGACAAGGTCAGCACCGTCGTGACCCAGCACCAGAAGCCGGCCCAGCCCACGCCTATGCAGAGCCGCAGTTCCATCCTGCAGGCTGCACAGCAGGCGCCGGAAGACAGCGGGAGGACCCCCATATGTGGTGCCTGCAACAAAATCATCAGGTGAGGCTGCACCGCTGCTACACACAGGCTGATTCTTTTTTTAGGGCCCGAGCACTGACAGTGCGAAGGCCCTATTGTAATTGCTCTGTTTATTATTATTATTATTATTATTATTATTCCGGCAAATGAATTGGCCGTTTGAGGGCCTAAACATGCTCGAAAACTCATGAAATTTTGCACACGCGTCAGGTCTGGTGAAAATTTACGTATTTTAATGTTCCCAGACATGGCCAGGGAAAATTAGCTCAGTAGCGCCACCTAGAAAAATGAAAAACGCGAGCCCCCGGTATGGGTATGACCTACATGTTTGAAAGTCGGTACACCTATATAACGTTCAGAGTCGAACAAAAAAGTCTATTATGGCAATGTCCTAAACCCAACAGGAAGTCCGCCATTTTGGATTGAAGGTGACATTTTGGGTCTGATTTTACCGTTTCCATGCCTTGTACTTTAACGAACTCCTCCTTGGGATTTGGTCCTATAAGCTTCATCTTTGGACAGTGTCAACTACACCCTTGTGCCATGTTAAATTGCGGAGCTTTTGAGTTTTCACAATACTATGAGGCCGTGGCGCCATGGCGAATTTCGATGACTCGCCATGAAAATCTTATTGCCTCTCATTCTGTCATACATGTTCCGATCTGGACCAAAGAGCACACATATGATAAGGCTCCACCCCTGAACATATTTCAACTGCCATATTTGACATCGAGGACAGCGCCACCTAGTGGGAACAGGAAATGTCATGTTTTACACTTTGGGGTACAGTATAGTGATGGGTGACATCTGCAGCCTCAAATTTCTCCAGGAAAGCCTTAAGGAGTTGGTCTTGGGTTACAGTGAAAACTGTGACTTTTCGCAAAAGGGTGTGACCCCAGCAGCATGGCGAACTTTGATGTCACGCCATGAAGAAACAAATTAGTATAACTCAATGAAATCCAGTCTGATCAGTACCAGACTTTACAGACATGATGTCAGACCCGCCCTGAACAGATTGATGTGCCCATTGTCGGAAATACGGACAGCGCCACCTAGTGGCAACAGGAAATGTCATGGCTTTAATTTTGTTGTACTGATTTTCACAGGTTCATCTTGGCCACCTCAAAAGCGGTGAATATCACCATCAGTCCCTCGTGATGCTTCAGTGCAAAAATTGTGACTTTAAACTGAACGGCGCACCCTGGTGGCAACGCAGTTCAACATGAAAGATGAAGTGGCTTTTGAGGGTCTTGGCAAGTTTATAGAGGCTTGAAATTTGGCACACACCTCCAAATGGATGAAGGCTTTGTTGGCATGTGATCATTTTCATTGAATAGCGCGAAATTGCTCCACAGCGCCCCCTACAAAATTTCAAAACCACAGCCCCTGCTCTGTGTTCTATGTATGATTCTGAAACCTGGTAAGCTTATAGGAGATATCAAGATGTACAAAAAAGTCTCTTGGAGCAATATCCCAAATACAACAGGAAGTCAGCCATTTTAAAATTAATGTGCAATTTTGGCAACATTTTCCCCTCTTTTCAGGCATCGTTCTTTGACGAACTCCTCCAAGGGATTTCATCAGATTGCACTATTCTTCAGTGTGTGGAATCCAAAGACCTTTGTGTTGTTAAATTGCGAAGCTTTTTACGTTCAGGGAAACGGGGTGGTTATGGCGGCACGTAGACTCTCAATCACTCGCCAAAACGCAGTAATCTGCTGTTACTCAAAAACACAATGTCCAATCTCACCCAAAGGTCGCAGGCATAATGAGACACGAGTTCGGAAATGTTTGTTATGCCATTTGTACATAATGGTTAGAGTGCCACCTAGTGGAACGACTAGCTAATCATGAATGAATGAGTTGAAATGTTAGCTGGTGGTTAAATGCATGAATTCCATCAATGTGACATCAGATCGGACGTGCTGGTTTTAGGTGTTGGGCGTGGCTCGACGCGCCGGGGGTGCGAGGGCCCTCATAACGCTGCTTGCAGCTTTAATTTTTTTTTGTAATTGAAGTCTTTATTTGTTTTTTACGGAGCCCCGCAGGGGACATGGGAGAAAAAAAATTAAGACTGACTTTTGCGAGATCTCGCAAAAGTTTTAGCCGCATTCTTCGGAGGCCGCCAGCTCGAAGCCGACCGGGAGGTCGAGGCACGATGTGCCGGGAAAGCGGTGTTCCTCCCGGCTGTAGTAGGTCTCGACCTCCCGTTAGCTTCGAGCTAGTGGGTGTCAGATCTCCAAAAACGTCGGAGCACTTTTGCAAATATGTGATGTCTTGTAAACCGAGCAGGTATCTGATGTTTACACAACTACATTCACGCCTCAAAATATCTTAAAAGTGTATTTTGTGACCCAGAAAGAGTAACAACTAAGTAGCTGCCGCCATTGTTGGAGTTTTGCGAGATCCCGAGTTTGTTTTGCGAGATCTCGCAAAAGTCCGTCTTTTTTTTTTTTCTCCCTAATTTTTTTTTCTCCCATGTCCCCTGCGGGGCTCCGTAGTTTTTAACATTTAACAACATGAAAACATAAACAAAACAACAGAAAAGAAACAAGAAAAGAAAAGACAGCTTCCAATCCCATGGTTAATTCACCTTTGTATTTTGGGTCTATTTTCAATACTTACTATCGGTATACCCGCAAAAAAAAAGGACAAAATCAAATTCTTAAGTTATTCCATTACTGAGTGCCTACACAAACATACAATGCAGCAAGCATAAAATTTAACTAAAGATAATTGCCCTGACCAAATAAATTCCAACCATCTCAGCCAAAAACGCATCCCCATGATTTGTCAAAACCCTCCCTATCATCATTAATCCTAGCCAAGAATTTTTCATACGACACCATTTTCAGCATTTTTTCTTTCCACCTATTATGTTCTGGAGGAGATGGTTCCTTCCATACACTGAGAATAACTCGGGCCGCTGCAATCACCCCCACAAAGTCATATTTTGAAACCCCAGGTAACACCGACCGATCCCCTAATAAGCACAGTCTTGGTGACAAGGGTATTATCAAACCAATCCACCTTCCTATTTTGTCCAATACTTTTGCCAAAACGGATAAACTTTCCTAAAATTCCCAAATAGCATGCATAAATGTCCCTGGATCTGAACTACATTTCCAGCATATATTACTGGACTGATTCCCATTCTAGTTTGGACGGAGTGAAGTACCATCTGTGTATTAATTTATACTGAGTAAATTTACCCCTGGCCTCTCTTATATATTTATCAGAGAATGACAAGATTCTACACCAGTCTTCTTTAGAAATTGCACAACTCAGATCTGTCTGCCATATAATCCTCAAGTTTTCACATATCTCTTTTTTTGGATTGTTAAACAGTTTATAGAAAACAGCTGCTCTATGTGCTGTACTGGACAATTCTAAAAACTCCACCACCATATTTGAGCTTTGAGTAAATTTTCCTTTGGTAATACAATCCCTTATTTGTAAATATTTCCAAAAATTATTTTCTCTTATCAAACCATATTTTTGGGTTATTTCAGCGAATGACATAAACACTGCCCCTGAGTAAAGATCACTTATCCTGTGTATGCCTTTGACAAGCCATTCCTTCCAGAACACTGTTTTTCGCCCAATCTGTACAGCAGTGTTGTTCCATAGCGAGGTATAAGGTTGTCTTAAATGAGATGCTCCACACATCTTGTGCACCTCTACCCAGACAGCTTTAGAATACCCAAGCACTGGGTTATTATGAAAGTCTTGTCCATTAATTGCTGAGCCCTGTGAGAGAACATCCAAGGGTGTAAAAGGGCTCACTAGTTCCTGTTCGATCTTCATCCAGCTCAGCTCAGAGTCCGAACCTGTCCAGTGCTTGGCCAGTCTTGACATTTCAAAAGCTAAATTACACAACTTCACATTTGGGAGGGCCATTCCCCCAATGTCTTTAGAGGCCCACATTTTCTTTATATTCACTCTTGGCTTCTTGTTGTTCCACAAAAAATCTTTAATTAACTTCTCAAATTGACTAAATACGTGTAAAGGAATTCTTACAGGTACAGATTCTTTTTAACTCGAGCGAGGCTCTCTGTGTTTGCTCCTTGGAGGGTCCTGTTAGAGATGACAATTTAAGACTCTTAATATTCGCGACACACTGCCTGTCTGCAGCAAATTAAGCCAGTCAGCATATTTCACAGAGTGTGGAGACATCTTGTTATCACTCAGAATAACAAAGAAACTCTGGTTGATATTCTGGCCACCATTGCAAACAAAGAGCTTTTATTCATTAATTTTTGAGTGAAGATTCAAATTCTGGAAAACCTAAAATTTGTTTTCAGCGTTTGCTCACATTTCACACAGTCTAGTGTATTTTTGCTGAGTGCCTTTGGATCTTTTTTCAGTCCTCTGTTGAAGCTTTGGATTATTTAGCCAATTTATATTTTAAAAAAAACAAAACCCCTATTTATGTGTTACTAAGTCCTTTTTTTTTTTTTTTTTTTTTTTTTTTTTTCTTTCTTTTCTCCAGGGGACGGTACCTGGTGGCACTGGGACGGTCTTGGCACCCGGAAGAGTTTACATGCTCGCAGTGTAAGGCGGTCCTGGAGGAGGGGGGCTTCTTTGAAGAAAGGGGAGCCGTCTATTGTACCAAGTGCCACGATAACCGATACGCTCCGAACTGTGCCAAGTGCAAAAAGAAGATCATAGGGGTACGAGCTTCTGTTGTATCCAGCAAAATCAAAACAGCCGTTTCAAAGTTTTTAAAAAAAGTTAACCTTTTTCTTCCCCCCCCCCAATCAGGAAATCATGCATGCACTGAAGATGACTTACCATGTTCAGTGTTTCAAGTGTGCAGCCTGCAAGAATCCTATCAGGAATCAAGCCTTTTACATGGAGGAGGGTGAACCCTACTGTGAGAGAGGTGAGTAACTGAACCATTGCAGTCCAGACGTACTATACTTCCTATATTGCATACCTGAGCAATCTAAATGCAAATGGTTATTGTGTAAGAGTTGGAGAAGGTACAAAAAACAAAGACCGAAACGGCTTTTTTTGGAGCCACATTCACAAACTGATGCTACTGCTTCACATCCTACATGAAACAACACCAATGCTGTGACACAGTCGATTGTCTTCCAAGGGCCAGGGGAGGATACATACAACTATTCTGATTGGTAGTGATGGCTATGTCGTCCTCTGTTGTGTAAAATATGGGGTGAACTCACACCTAGTATAAAAAGCTGAATTCCAATTGAAGCTAGTGTGATTTTACACATCCATTTCCCCTATAGGCCAGCAGGGGGCGACGTCTCTCAGCTTGACAAAGAAGTCAGTTTCTGTAGAAGTGCATGGAAAAAAATGAGTGTACTTCTGTCTTGATTAATGAGCTCTGTAACCACTTTCCTAATGAGTTTTTCTTCTGAATTGCTAGTTTCAAGTCTTATTTAATACAGCTCAGTGTTCACTTTGTAAATTATGGTTCCATTTAGAGTAAAATAGACGATAAAGCAGGGCAAGCTTTAGGGCATCACTATTTCACCATTAACAAGTCGCTACCATACGAGTGTGCAGTATCCTGAGTTTGAGTCTGATCCAAAAACCATAACATGCAGTCTGTGCTTCAACTGTGCTCCAAAAGATGGTAAATGTCCGCCTTTCTTTTACGATTTCATCACTCTTTAGGACAGTTTGGTTCCAGACTCGCGTGTCTGGTGAGAAAAGGATAGTTTACTTATAATAAAGACCTCAGTCATGACCAAATGTGTAGTTCGACTGTGTTTTCTCTCAAGGACTCTGTTCATTCATTCAAACAATACAACACTGAAGGCTTCACAAAACATAAAGGCGTCACCATGGTGAAAAATCCTCTGCTGGAAATAAAAGCAGTCGCATTTATGTCGTTCTAAGGAATAGTTGCTACTACTACTAATAACTGCAACAATGACAGTAGTCAGTTCTGCTGAGCAGATGGAAGCACCCACAGAAACCTGTGCTTTAATAAAAAGTTTAATTCTAAACTCGAGTCCAAGCCAGATAGCATTTGCCTGAGCGTGCTGAAAATCCGAGTGTGCAGATCAATTAGTTCCAGCGCCGACTGAGAACATCTCGACTCATGTAAGACGCCCCGCGACTTCACACGTGGATCGAGCCCGATTATAAATCTGCACTGGCCTCAAGTCCACAGATGAGACGGAGCAGGCTGACACCCACGAAGCACGTTTTAAATGGATGCTACAGCTCGGCCCACGTCATAGACGTCGGGGTACAAAATCTTTAAATTCAGCCAGTGCATGAATCGGGTGTAGCGTGCATTTTGTGATTAAAATTGTTTCCTCTCTACAGTGCATCCTCTCCAGTCTATCTGAAATAATTGTGATTATTTTCTTTGTAAAAATCAAACTATTTCTGACACGTTTTGTCAAACATTGTAGTATTGCTGTGGGGTTTGGCAGAAACCTACATCGAGAGTCTCCTGGCACATGCCGCAGTCAATCATAAAGTGTGATGTTTTCATCTGCTGTAATCTATTTAGTTCCAGTTTACTTCATACATACCTCTATTGGGTTTTATGAATGGTGCGTGCTCTTCTATTATGATATAAATGAGTTAGCGGGGCATCTGACGTGGATTGCTGCTTTATCAGAGGCGAAGCCAGAACCTGGGTACTCATATTCTGAATAATGCCTTCAGCTCTGATAAACATTCTGCTGCCTCAGCATCTTTCAGGGATTGTACAGCTCTCACCCACTCACTCTTGAGAAGCAGCATTATAACCTGACACCCCCCCCCCCCTTGAGTCCTTGTGATGAAAGAGACTGGCAAATCCAGTCAAGTATCTGGAGCAATTTCCACCTCATCCTAATCCCACCCCTACACTCTGGAAAGGCACTAATGTACAGTGGGTGGACACAATAAAACAAACAGTATAGATATCAAATGACCAATAAGAAGAGGAGCCGGCATTTGGCATCAAAGTAGCTCTATACGTCTTTATTTTACACCGTTCAGTCCCTTAAGTGGTTGCGTGTAGCGTGTAGTGAGGATTGCTCATCTCGGAGCGGCAAACAGCTTCCACTTCTTCTTTTAAAGATGAAAGATGTGGAAAAGGATTTCAGTCTCTACGGATCCCGTAAAGGTTAAGCGATGTTTACAAACGGCGATTGCGGAGGCCGGGGCGATTCCTTGGCCTGATGCGGGCAACGATAAAAGCTCTTTTGAGTTAAAAATGTAATCTTATATTCACCTTATCTTACATTTCTTCTGCTCGCCACCCCTCCTCCCCCTCCTCTCCAGACTATGAGAAGATGTTTGGCACCAAATGCCATGGCTGTGACTTCAAGATTGATGCCGGGGATCGGTTTCTGGAGGCCTTGGGCTACAGCTGGCACGATACGTGCTTCGTCTGTGCTGTAAGTCATTTTGATGGATATAGCTCCTTGTGGGCTCTCTTTGCCCCCGTATCTCGCAGCTGTCCCAGTACAATGGTACCTGGAGAAAAAAATTTGCCTCCATGTCTGGACCTCAAGCTTTCTCTCTCTCTCAGCCTGTCACCTGCAGTCTATCACTCTCTATATCTCTCTCATTCTGTGAAGAAAACTGAAAGCAAATGCAGTCAAGTAAAGCTTGCTCTGGCCACTAGAAACTGTGTAAATTCACATCAGCAGTGTTGAAGTCTGATATCTACTCTGCCCTCGTTTCCCAATCCGTCTCTCTCACTTTGTGTCTCCTTTCATCTTTAAAGCTCTGCCAAATCAACCTGGAGGGGAAGACGTTCTACTCGAAGAAGGATAAGCCCCTGTGCAAAGGCCATGCTTTTGCTCCAGTGTGAGAGAGCGAGGCGCATCTTCAGAAGAAGGAGCACTGCTCTCTCCCTTCTCTTTACCCCCTGACACTTCCGTAGACGCACCACATCCCTTCTTGCCACACACCTTGTTAAACTAAGTCCTTTCTCTCTGTGCTGCAGACTTTTTGTTCTCGAGGCTTAATGCTGGCTGCACGTACCGTCACTTTACTCTGCTGTTAGGAGACTTCTGATGGCACTGCCTCTAATGCCAAATGCTGTGTTGCATAACTGGAAGGAGTCGAGGAATTATGTCACGCCATCGGTAACTTTTTGACTTCCAAGTTGTTTTTAGGTCATGAAAAAAATGTCACCGCAGGTCACGTCGATTTGTAGTTGTTAGCGGAGTAATCTCCTGCCTCTGTTCTCCTCGTCCTTGTTAATTCAAGTCACCAACTTGAAGGAGTCATTGAGCCTCTAATAATCTCTCATATTGCAGTAATGATCAAGCAATTCTCTTGCACTAAGTGTAGTGAAGTTCTGGCCCCATACAGGACCCCAGCCCACTCATCGGCTCTCACTGCAGCACCCTTTAATGTAATGGGGGGCCAGTCAAGCAGAAAAGGAGGTGTCCATTTCTGCTTGACTGGATCTCCTCCACAGAATCACTAACTACTTATTACTTTGACTCTGGCAAGTCAGAGCGCATACTCCAGCTTGAAGAGTCATTTAGAATGATGTAGTAATTAACCCATTTTTAATCGTCATACACGCGGGTGATGGAGATTGATTTTTAACTTTCCCTTTGATTTGACTTTTTTTTTTTTTAATGAGACAAACTAAGTCTTTAAGTGTTCCCCATGTCACTGTGATATTCTTCCTTAGAGTACTTTCAAGTCACTGAATCTGTATTTATATTGCTTCAAAAGTGGCCTGTAAGTGTTGTTTTTATTGCAGCTGAAAGTTTCAAATAAAATTATTTAGTAATTCCATGTGCCAGGTCATTTTGTTTCTCTTGGAAACACTCCCATCTGTAACAATTTTTAAAATTGTCAATTGCCATCTTTGCTCTTTTTTCCAAAACCCTGCTGAAGCCTTTGTATGCTCCCTATAAATATAATCAACGAAGTGATACTGAAATAAGTGGCATTTTATCTTAACTGGTAGGTAGCCAGGTGCTTAAAACATCATTCTTGCTGGAATAGCTACATTTTGTTTGGGTGAGAAGCTCCTCTTAAAAGCTTAGCATCAGCAGTGGGTCAGCAGCTAGCCTGCAGTCCAGAGTTTAAAAAACAAAAAACTGACGCCAAAGGTGAAGCTCACAAATGAATGTTTCTTGTTGTTGTTTTTAAACACTCCTTGGTATAATGAGGCATATCTGCAACTCCAAAGCGTATTATCTTCTTTTAATCTTTAACCATTGGAGAGCGCTAAGCTAGCCATTTGTACCTTAAGCTAGGCTAATTGTTACAGACTTTAGCTCAATGGTTATGTGTCATGGAGATGCAAGATGAGGGTCCTGAGATGATCAGAGGTTTTACAGTTCATGAAATGTTGCACACTTAATTTATTTTTTTATTTTCTAAGACCAGTGGTCTCAAACTCCAGTCCTCGAGGGCCGGTGTCCTGAAACTTTTCCTTGTGTGCCTGTTGCAACACACCTGAATACAATTAGGTCATTCACAAGACTATGAAACTGCATGCTGAGGTGCCATTTCAGCCATTTGATTCATGTTACAGCAGCTCATGAGTGAATGAACATGGTGCAAAAAATGTACTTTTAGAAGTACTTTTTTTCAAAACCCTTATTTAAATTTACTTGAGTTAGGGGCTGCCACCTCAGCATGCAGTCAAGTTCTAGAGTCTTACTAATGACCTACTGATTTTACTCAGGTGTGTTGGAACAGGGACAAATAGAAGCTCAAGGACTGGAGTTTGAGACCCCATTTTGGACCATTACCATTTAGAGAGGAATCCTCTAACAGCGTCCTGAAATTTTACAGCAAAATCTGTCAGGGAAAAAGATTTCCCTTGCTAGATATCTATCTATCTATAGATATAGATATAGATAGATATTTATTTTTTTTTTCCATCAGATTCAATTGGTGATTCTGTTTGTTTATATCCTGGTCACCACAGAAATTAGTGAGTTTAGATACAGCTTTAACCCCTGGGGGATCTTAGAAAAATGCATACACTATTGGTCTTAGAGCCACAAATCGACCACGCCCAAAAAAGCGCTATAAAAAATTTATATATTAATATTTTTTTCCACTTTAAAGTAAATCCCCAGCTACGTGCCCAGAGGTGTTTTAAAAATGGATGCCAAGCTGTAAAACCTGCTTCTTTGTCTGAACCATGCATTGATTATGACATGTGCCAAAAATGTATCTTTGATCAAGTGAGCAAGTTCAGTCTACGAAACATTTTAGTTTGAATATTTTAATCAGCTTTTCTGGCTCAACTTCAATGCAGGATGAGGCAGTAGACCAGTGGTTCCTCAAACTGGAAGACATAGGATTATTGCTGGTGGGGTGTAGATAACCAGGGGGAAATATACAGATTGAAAATAAACTGAATAAATAATTTTTGTAGGGCAAATAACTTATTTGCTCTGAAACTCTTGGCTTTTGAACAGAGTCATTATAGTTCTGTTTTCTACTTATTTTGTTTGGAGTTTTCTTTTTTCCTGGTTTAGTTTGAACTTTCAGTGTTATGAGCTATAAGGAGGGTATTTCTCAAATCTAGTAAAATCAGCACCATTTCACAACATAAGGATTTTCTCCAGCTACTCCAGTTTCCTTCCACAGTCTAAAGCCATGCTTGTTAGCTTATTTGACCTTAGGTGTGAATAGTCATCTGTGTTAGCTATGCAATAGACTGGCGACCTGCCCTCAGCGTACCCTTTCCTCCGATGACAAGCTCCGGAGTAAGTTTAATAAAAAGGTGATGTACGAAGGTCATACTCAATGAGTCATACTATTCAGTGAGCCCTTGTGTGCTATGAGTGGGAGCACAGTCATCCTGGAAGAGACCATCAGGACAGAAATGTTTCATCATAAGGTAAAAATGATGACTCGGTAGTGATTGACATTGACATTTCCATCTCAGGGGACAAGATGATCCAAACTATGACAGCAAAATTTCCCACACAGAACCACTGGATCCCTTCACCGTAGCAGGAAAGGCTCCAGGTTAATCAGCCAAAAAGCTTTGCATTTAATCCCATGGCAAGAAGAACAACAGACGCATTTCATAAAAGATCCAACTCTCAAACTAGAGACACCTTTTCAAGTAAAAGATCCAGGCCTTGATTTAACAATATATAATTTATTTACAACAATTTTCGGATTGAATTACTATACATACCTTTCTGAAATGTCATAGATAGATATATATATATACATAAGGCCAAGTAAATACTTGAAAGCACTTAGAAACGAATTTCCAAAATTCTACCCACAAATCCATATCATTGTCCAAAAAAGTACAGAAAATTTCCCTTAGCAGAAGTTTTTCCATCGCCACAAAAGTTTCGACAACAATTTACATTAACGATAGGGAACACAAAAAAAGGTTAAAAACAAAGGAACATAAAGGAGGATTATACAATTGCATAAGCGCTGTGGCATGTAATAAATACAGCATTTTTGACTTGCAGAAAGGCAAGGAACATTGAATCAAGGAACTAAAGAGAAAAAAACATTCACAAGTACAGAAGGCTATTGTTCTTACTTCAAAAAGAAAACAGTTTAGTAAGAGTGACGGGGAGGTATGCACACACCCAATCTCTCTCACACACACACTCAAATACATCCTTGACACTGAATAGTAATGAGTGACACAAAAAGTACAGTGCTGAGATGTTACATTTCTCCCCATAACACAGGGGTGAACTGACAGTATAAACCCTTGAACAAAGCTTGTATGTTACTGACACATACTTACACAGAATTATCAGGCCTGGGTTTTCTCTCAAACTGTATTCATCGCACACACACGCACACACACTGAGTCATAGCAGAATTGTTAGATTTGTCGGATGAGCTAGATGTGAAGATAAGATGCTCAACATCCTGGCGGCTGGTGAATTACATTACTGAAATGTGCTTAGGCAACATATCCAAGACGATGACGGAGGGGGATGAAGAAACACACACATGCGCTCTGACTGTACAGCTGCCGTGGCTCATCTAAACGTGCCTAACCGACGCCCTCACTCTCCAATTAGCCACGGAGCCCGCGCGGTGACTCATTAAGCACAAGTGACAGTTTCCACCTTGGATTTTTAAATGCTTAGTTACAGAAATCATCAGGTGCGCAGAGTTAAGGACGAACAAAACGTCGACAGAAAGCTTTCCTGTGAAACAGTCTCGAAACCCTTAACACTGCAAATAGTCTGCTAGATCGCCAAACAACAGTATATAGGCAAACACGTCACGGTTTTAGACTTGACAAATGCTGCGCCAGTTAAGTGTCTTTTTTGGCTTCATATTAAAATATAATTTACATTTGTTTACAAAGTGATAAGGTGACACAGAGTACTGCGTAAACAAACTGCATTGAGATGCCTTAAAATGAGGGAAAAAGGAAAGACAATGAAAGAGACAACTACTCTAGAAAACAGTGGATTCGTGGACACAGCGTGAGGATGCGGTGGCCCTCGAAATGATATTCAGAAAACTTTGGTTAACAATTCTGCTGATATACAGTATGCAAAGTGACAGCACACGGCTGGTATAGAAAAGTATTTACAAATTATGCACGGCGATCTGATTCAACGTGAAAAGATTTTGAGTTTCTGATCATTTTCACGGCATCTTTATATAAACTGGTAACGGGACTCTGAGGGGAGATGTGGTTTAACGAGATGGGTTAAACGAGCAAGGCGATGGGCGACGGTATAAAAAGAAAGTCAAACTTTCTGCCTGCTACAAGGAAACTAATGTACATTCCAAAAAATCTGACAATCATTTCATCTTAAAGGTTAAAAACCATTCGAGCCCGCAGGATTGGGCCGTCCTCGCTGTTTGAATGAAAAGGGGCGGGGTTTTCATTATAGCTTTGAACAGACAACTTCACATGCAACCCTGAGGCAGACATAGAGAGAACCTATGGCTAGTTTGGGACTGCTCACACGTCACCGAAGGAAAATTGCTAAACGAGAAATTTTTGTGTTTGTTTGACAGATTCGTTACGAGAAAAAGAAAAATACTGTTAGTGAAATACGACAGAATGCAAATGCGCCGCTGCAGTTTATGGATTTTTGCATGAATCTATTGGATAATTGTTGCTGTCTGGATACAGATAGCCAAAAAAAAATTCCTTTCAAAGCATCTATTTGTGAGCAGAGGGGGTGACATTATGAAAAAGCTGCTCTTTATTTTATCTGAGAGATGGGCTTCTCTCTGATGTGGAAATACTGTTTGCCACACAGCAAATGCAGAATTCCCACCAACATTGCTTTATGAATAATACAAACAAAGCTGCACAATTACCCTTTCAACATGAGTAATCTTGTGATGATTTTGAAGAATTTGTTGTCAGATTTTTCTGAGGGAAAGTGCTCTACATAATTCATATGGAATAATAACCCTTCGGGCCATGTTTTTAGACTACAAAAATCAATGTAATCAAGAGGAAAATGTCATTTTAGAAATGAGCTTTGACGACATTCAGCGTTTGCACACGTGCAGTCGGCGTGCCTCTCGGCCCTATGGCCTCTTCATTAAGCTGTGGAATTTAAAACAGAGAAACGCCACGATGAACGATTGGGGTAATATAAAATGTGGAAACCTTATGGATCAAAATCAGAAGGCTTTAAATAGAAATTTCCTTTAAAATATGACTTTAAGTCAAGATATTAATCACTTCAAAAAAAAAAAAAAAAAAGGGATCCAGAGAACTCAAACCTCACATATTAAAAGGAGGAAAAGCTCCAAAGCGTCTCACTGGATCAAGATGTTAGATTCACAATAGTGATACCGGCTGGACTACAACACACACAAACGCACACACAAACTACATGAGATGGGTTTTTGGGGGGCTCAGACACACAATCTGTTTTTAAACCAGCAAGTCCAGAATCTGCTACAAGCCGTCTGTGTGTTAAACAGATTATGTGACTCACACACGCACACAGTCTCACTAGGTTGCTTTAAAATAAAATAAAAAAGGTAAAGAAAAAAAAAAAAAGTGGGCTAATCTTCTGAGTTGATGTCATGTGACGAACCTGCCAATTGCATATGTTGCTGGTTCTCTTTAACCTGAAATGACCTGCACCCTTTTTTGCCACCTTCCTTTTAACTGACTGTTTAAAAACACACGGTTTTTGAATCCAAGTTCAAAAATTAACGACTGAATTTGCAATATTGGCCATTACTAATAGCGTTACATTTGCATATTGCTCCTTGTTAAGCCGTACGCGGCCTGTTTAGAAGAGTTAATTTGATGTTACCTTTGCAGCAGAACTAGGGTATGGACTAATTTAACTTGGGTCTTTGATGGGAAATAAAAGGTACTTTCTCTACTGAGTCTGTGAATACGTTTTCCCCAAACACACACACACCCAAACTCTACCCCCTTGTTCCTCATTTGGTCTGTCATTTAAAGATTTTTACTGTGTTTCATGGGAAATAGGGACTCAATCCTACATAAACACTTTCTTATCTTCTAAAGTGAAGAAAAGGAACGCTGGGACAGCTCTGTTCTTCGATTCCCGCTGCAGTTATTGTTTTTTTATGTGTGTAAGAATGCGTATTAGTGTATCACGTTGTGTACTTTTCCTCGGCACCAGTCTGTCCCTCTTTTCTAGGTTAGCACTCGCCATCGGAGACCAGGAATATCATGGCTTCCTGTTTGCCGATGTCGGCCATGACCGTGGCCAGCTGGTTGATGTTGCCGCTGTGGAAATGTTGCGCCTCCCATAGGTCCAGGATCACAGAGGTTGGGCTTGCTTTGGATGCAAAGAAACTCATGTGTCTGCGGGGTGAGAGAGAGCAGAGAACACAGAAAATTAATTAAATCAAGCAACGCGCACACATCAGAAAGCAGAGCCTCTCATTTTCTCTCCACCTAAAGAGTGTCAGGAAAACCTTTCACCGGGTATTTTATTGTGCTGCCTCTTCTTCTAACTCTGTCAATGTCAGGTTTTATTGTGGGTTATATTGCTACATCCTGATATCTAGTGTCGGCGCACTAAGTAAAAAAATGATAAAAGCTACAAGAACACAGTCGGAGCTCTCGAAACTGCCGTTACGTACAGACTCTCTAACAATTCTCATTTGAAGCTTAACTCCACAACCCTCATTCCCTCTTTATTTGATGTTGAAATTGGCCCCAAAATCCCATATAGTAAATCCTATATAGACTTTCACAGTTAAGTCGGAAGTGACCTTTTCTATTTTGGGAGCAGAACCTTTACGATCAAACCCAATCAATGACAACAAAGCAGTGGCCCGAGTCAGCTGGATATTTGATGTTGAGTGGGACCTTATCCCCGCGGTAGCCGAAGATGCTTGTTTGATTAAATGGCATTTCTCTGTTTTTCCAAATGTCCGGGGCTTTAACTCTTATGTAGAACCCACATGACATTAAAAAGGAGAACGATGTAAAGCACAAAGAATCACCGTGCCGTGTGGGTGTTTCGGTGAGGGGGGAAAGGGGAGACAGGAAAATGCCACCGAGCCTTTTTCACCTTGAGAAAGGTCAGACGGAGTCAGACTTCCTCGTGTGTTTCTGTTTGTCTGGTGAAGCATTATGTGGAGGTTATAAACACGTGAGTGCAGCGGTAGGACACAAGCACCGGGAACACATCGTCACCGTGCTATTTTAAGTCAATTGGATTTTATAGAACGTGAACGGCTCTGGCTCTGCATCAGGACAACGCAACAAAGAGGAGCGTTGGTCAAAAAAAAAAAAATCTTTTGGGAATGAACCTCTGTGTCATTATTAAAGTTTAAAAAAAAGAAACAAATGTGTCAACCCTGCTTATTCACCTCGCCGCGTGAAACAAGAGCTTATCTTGTATGGCTCAGACGCAGCCGCTCGTACCGTCCTGGGAAAGAAAGATCAAATAAAAGGTTCTTGGCATTTTAAGTTTTATTGATTGGTCCCGTTCCGCTCGGTCTGAACACTTTACACGCGCAGAAACAAACACAGAAATGCAGCATGACAGAATGCCAAGGAGCTGCAGCCTTTTGAGGAAAACACGTTGTTAAGGACAGATCAAACAACGGAGCAGTTGTTCCTTCCTGAGGTCTAAATGAGAATTGATTATGTTGAGCAAAACATTGCTAATTAAACCTGTAGTGCATCAATTCAATTTGTGATTAATTGGGGTAAATAAAAGTTGATTGGACAAATTAAGTGTACCTATTTGATTTCATTACCAGGTAGAAATTAAATTGGAGGATAAGAGATCAATGCCCGACTACGCTCTTGTTACAGGTGCTTTGGTGATAGAGTACAGTAGCTGTGAGAACGAAGTGGTCGGCACAGATCCAAACCTATTCCAACTTTATCCCCCCCCCCCCTCCCCTCCCTGCCGCTGATGGGCAGCTAGCTCGCTGCATTTCCAATTACAGCTGTTAAGCAGAATGTAGCAGGTAGAAGTTTAGCTGCAGACTTTAAGCTTCTTACCTGTTTCTGAGGGAGAAATGAAGAAGGGGGTCATGTTTTCTTGCAGAAATGATAGCTGTATCCATCAAGTCCGCATTAATCCTATAATACTAGCTGTGTCAAAAGAGGATTAGCTTGCTAAAGCATTACTCTGTTTACCTGAACTTTAGGAAAAACACTCCGCTGAGGTGAATCACTCCACACCGATTGTGCTTGATTACTGAAATTTCACTGTTTTTCTGCCAACATCTGTATTAGTACACCTCTTTACTATCATTATTTTGAGTGAGCTGTATTCACATATTGTGCATAACTCTGCTGTGAAACCTCACTTCCAAGAGGTTTGGATAAATAAGGCTCATCAGAATTTCTTCAGAGCTTTCAAAGCTAAGCCGCCGGCTCCGACATGCCTTGACAACGATCAGATCAGCAATCAGATAAGGCGTTATTGTAAAGCTGATCTTTACCTCTCGAGTTTAAGTCTTTGTGCTAGCATTCTCCAGTCGGCTCCGTTGGGACAGGGGGCGTCCAGGCTGCTGCAGATCTTCTGCCTGATGAGGTACGGGATCTGAAAGGCGCTGGGTCCCGCCAGAGCTGTGGCGTTACTGTCCATTAACAGAAACTCAGAGTCCAACGCTCGAGTGTCCTGGAAAGGGGGGACAAAAAGCCACACAGGTTTTCTGAGCTCAGCAGAAAAATCATCTCCTTTACAAATACCCAAAATGATAAATAGTAGCTGCGGCATAATCAACCGCAGCTTTTAAGTGAGCAGAACGAACGTTACCTTGGCAATGTTAAAGTCCAGGCTAAAGCTCTGTCCCTCCCCCTCCACCTGCCACACACACAGCTGGCAGGTGAGCTCGCAGGTGCTGAGGCTGAGCCGCTCCAGAGTGAACGTGCAGTGCAGGTACCGCTGGGAACCGTTCCAGATGTGGTAGAACGGGATCTCCTGCAGTAGAAGAAGAAGGAAAAAAAGAAGCACATGCAGCAGCACAGTCAGAACTGCATGTCTGAAACGCGCCACAACACGACCGCCTGCCTAGAATACACTGAGATTATCATTAATTACACTGACATAAGCTGTCATCATTATGGCTAAGTATATCTGAGGCAGCGGAATGACAACGTTCAATTAAGTTAAAGGGAATAAATGCGCTGTTACTGACAAATAGAATCTTTAATAGGAGTTAAGAGCTGCCAGCCCGACTCTGCTGATAACAGAAGAAATCAAACTTTGGATTTTAATAGATTACACGCGCAATCTGTCACGCTGGCAATGGAAGCATTTTTTTTTTCCTTTTCATCTATTTTCATTAACTTGCTTTAGCTTTGTACTAACTTTCAGGCAGATATATAAATGGTGGCGTTAGTGTAAATGCTGAAATATCACACCACTACTTTAAAGCTAAAGCACATCACGCGGCGAATGCATAAGCATACTCAATAGCTGCTGTATCGGCTTCAGCTTCTGTCTAGCAAACGGATACCAGGGAGTCTTTGGGAGAATGCATTTGAGGCTGCAATTTCTACCCCCTCTCTCGTCTGCTGCATATTCATGACTTGTTTGCATAACCCAGGAGAAGCACTGTTGTAACGCTGGAGAAAGAGGGGGGGAAAAAAGTGCACACTAACTCCTCGCTTTACCAGAGTTCAACGGCTACCAGGGTTCTCAGTCGAAAAGAAGTGTGGCCTGCAGCACATCCTACTAACCAAATGGGGGCACTGTTACCCAGGCAGACTGGCAACAGAGCAGCCGAGTGAAACACACAGAAGTCTTCATGGGCCCCAGGGAGACTAAAGGCCTTTTTGACTGCACTGCTGAGAGGGGAATAACACTTCCAAATGAACAGGCACAGTCCAGAGGAATAAGCCTCTGTTCTGGGTGCATTGTTGCCGCCTTGCTTGCTTGGCACAGTCTGCATGCTCTCATTGGGGACCCGGTACTCAATGCTCACATAGTTACAGCCAGAACATTTTCTAGTCCTGGAACATCCCTTGTGTGTGCATACGTCGGGCTGCAGTGTAACTGGCCACGCGCAGGTGCGGGGAGTGCAGTAAGGTGGAGCCGATCCAAAATTCAGGTTGCAAAGTTCGAGATATTTACATACTGCTCTATATTTCATACGAGCCCCCTTTGAGAGAGCGACAGCTAGTATAATCAATCAGCTTGCAGCCCTGAGTTAGTGCACGCAATTCAGCTCCTCTATGCACATGTATACACTACGTGCACACTCGCGGTCTAGGCACAGGGGTGCACACACCCCCCCAAAAAAAAAAAGTAAAAAGGTTCCCTCTACTCTGACAAATGACTAAGTTCCAAAGTGTGCCAAGAACAGAAAAGGTTATTGGACAGCAGAGTCCTGCAGTAACAGACTTAGAAACACTCCTTTGTGTGAATCTTTAAAGTGATCAACTGAAGCCAAACCAAAACATGCTTAATTAACAAGTCTGGCCCAACTCCAATGAAAAACAACTTTCCAGAGACATTAGGAGACCACGAAGCCTCATTAACAATAAAAAAAGTTTCTCCCAAATAGCTTCTGAATAGTCAGTAACTTTTTAACTTTTGTTAACATGCGTTCAATTCATTTTTTACTTTTCTGGATGGCTAATTTAAACTAACAAACGGCATTGATTTTAAATTGAGCTCATAAACAAACACATTTGACGGCCTTATTACTGCCGGTAAACAAATTTAACAGATTCGGCCAGGCACTTGTATTAAATCTCCTTACTCCCGCACTGATCCAGAGCGACTCCCTGCCCCTGCAGCCCCTCAAGGGCAGCCCAACGCACCTGGTAGCCGGCTAGCAGCTTGCTCCTCCAGTGCGCCTGGGGCATGTCATGGATGGACAGGCGCAGGTTGTGGTAACTGTCTTTGAAAAGCAGGACGTGAGGCTCGTCAATCAGCCGACCCCCGAGCTGCCGCTCCATCTGCATCACCTCCTGATCAAAGAGAAAGAGGCGAGAAAAGGTGTCAGGGCTCGGGGATGAGAGGGGGAGGTACATTTACCAACACACTCGCAGAGGTAAGTGAAAACGTGTAAAAACAATCCATAACTGTTTGCTGTTTACACTTTGTCTGGTGCATCACTCACGCACACAAAACGGTACCGCTTTGGAATAAAAATGTATCAGCGCACACACACACACACACACACGGGTGCACGTCCAAAGAAATACACAAAGACATGGTGGAGACACTGAATAGATTTAACTCAAACAGAGAGATACACACAAAGGCCTGTTTGCGCACACACACACACACAGCATGAGCATGAGGCAGGGGTACAGTACATCTGAGGAAAAGAAGATAGTGTCTCTGCGTGCGGCCACAAAGGACTGGACCGACTCGTCTCCACGGTGCTTTAATGTCATCGCAAGGTTGATCCTCTGCCTCGGTTTGTATATGCCAGTGTTTTCTGCATCTGCATTAGCATGCAGGAACTGCAGCCATTCCCAGCCTACTGGCTACCTGGGCTGTGATGAAGTAAGTGAACGAGCCATTAGTCAACTGCTCATTGTTCTCGCATGGCGAATCTCCTTAATTTCATTTTTGTTTTTGTGCCAGTAGAGATTTGTAAATGCATGCTTAATATTTTAATCTCTGTGGGACTTGCTCAGTGGACCATTTGTTGCCATCCAAATGACCATCTGGAATGGGATGATAATATCCGGCACATTTGCCTCTGATTTATCAATTCGCTTTGAGCTGGATGCTTTGTGCTGAACATGTCCTCAGAAATCCAGCGCTTTGGTTGCCATTCACATGTGCTGCCTCATACTCCAATCACAGGAGCATACTACAACAGAGAAAACAGGCCTCTGAAATTAGTGGTGTGAATAGACCTCCAAAATAAGACATGTTCTTTTAATCTGTCTGAGGAGGGGAAACAAGATGGCAGCAGAAGGAAAACAGTCAGCCCGGGCGCTCCTCGGAGTCGTACCTCAAAGACAACAGCTCCGAGAGGGCGAAGTGCGTATAGATGGCTGCCATATGTTGAACGCTGCATGCCAGCATGGTTGCCCATGGTATGAGTTCAGCAAAGACATCCAATTAAGGTGGAGAATGGTGGTAATTTCTATCTGCACAACACTGATTCAATTTTCTGCCCTCTTTCCCAGGAACAGGCTAGACTGATTCCAATTATAATGGAAAGAAAGCTGTTAATTATCCATTTGGAATCTCTACCTGCGTTATTTCATGTGCACTCCCCTTTGACGAATGAGCAATTTTTGGTTCAGGCCGACAATTGAATTTCACTGTTTGTTCGCCGCATTGTTAATTTCCATGTTTGCTTTGTGCTTATCTTCTTGTTAACATGATTATTATGCCCCTTGTGATTATCTAGATTGATTCCCGAATTTGCATCGGTTTACCTTTTTTTTTATTTTAAACCATAAAAAAAAAAAAAAAATCTAAAATGATCTGAATGTATGCATCTAGCTGGAATATACTCCTCCATGCTCTGCCAGACAAGAGTCTTGTGATGTTACCCAGTCCACTTACTCAGAGAGGGAAGGTCAGACAATGGCGCTGAATCAAAGTGTCGAGGTCTAATGAGTTAATAACAGAGGGCAGCGCGTTCTCCACAGAAAAGCCCTCTGCTATTATGTCTCTTACAGATACAAAAGCCACATTATGTGGGCTTCCAGAGAGGTTCATTTAAACAGTTCTTAAGCACAATTATTTGTTGGGCGGCGATTAGCATTGCAAATTGGGTGTTGGACTTTGATCAGGTTTTGACCTATAGAACAGATCTATAGCCCCGCTAGCAGCAGAACGAGTGCAGAATGCCAATTATCCTATTATCAAATGTGGCGACTAGAATGAATACTAACTCGAGCCGCTTAGCAGCACGTCAGGTTCAAGGCCGGCACACTTGATTACAATCAAAACAGGGTCTGGGACATGATTCTCTTGCTACCTGACAGGGACACTGAGGGGGGGGGGTTGAACAACACGGGATGATGCATTTGCTCCTTTAAAGTGTGCTCATGTCCTCGCTTTCAAAATGACACCGTCTCGCCCGCATGTTGTTTGTGTGCGTCCGAGTGGCTGTGACTGTGTGTGTTGCAGAGTGGCTTTTTTCTGCAGGATTTCAGCATATGTTCTGGACTGAGAGAATAATGGCCCTCTTTACGCCCCATTATCCTGTTAACAAATGACAGTGTGAGCGAGCTAATAGATGAGAAGCTAAATTTGACCGTATTATTTACTCTTTCTGGGAGGAAAACAATGCAAGGTTTGGAATTAGTTTATCAAATCACATATTAATCATGATTGCACCAGCTCAGTTTTGTTTCCCCCAATTCAGGGGAATATAATAAGAGCTGTTTTCTCCTAAGGCGCCCTGAACCTGTACAGCTATGGGAACATTAAGATGCATGAGATGGGCAAGAAGTTCAAGTACCGCAGGAGAAAAACCCCTTTTGTTCTGACGGAATTCGAGATAGCCTGGGGTGTGTGTGAAGACTGTGAATTTAGAGTCAGGCAAAGCCAAGACCACCCCCTGACATTCAATGAGGCTGGCTAAAGAGAGTGAGATAGAGCAGGGAGGAGTGAAAAGAGCAGGAACAGGAGAGGAGAGAGACAGAGGCAGCTTAACATTTGTGTCTCCAGGTCACTAGAGTGGCCAGCTTTAGCAAGAGAGATAACAGGATTACTGCAATCATGGCCACAGTTTTCTATGACTTCAACCCCCTTTATACGCTCACTCATGTCCCCCCACCCCACTCTCCACCCATCCCTTCGGCATGGACCAGAGCTGGGACTGTAATGGACTGGGGGCCGGGCTCCACCAGGAAACAAGAGACACTCATACAGCTAATCTCTCCGGGCTGGTGATGACAGAAAGAGGTTAGTGGCTGCACCGAACGCTCTCCTGCGACAGAAAAGAACAGCCAGCCTTGGATGCCGGGTGGAAACACAAACGAAACAAATCAAAGTATTAGCAGAGGCGTATATATTAAGAACCGGACTGGCACGAAGCTGCAGACTTTCCCCTCACAGCAAGGCCAAGCTGCTTCTTGTGGCCTTGTGTTGTGCCGGCTTTGTGTGTAGCAAACTGATTAACACAACCAGCTCTAATGGAGATTATGAGTAGCCTTTGATCAGTTAATTAGTCAAGCTACATGTCATCCGAAACATGGAGCTATACATGCACACGGGCGGTAAGATCCTCATAAACTCGTCCTCAGCCCCTCACTCTCGGCGACACGGTGTCATCGTGTTTAAAAATGTGCATTCATAGTGAATATCCATTTTCAGAGCTGCTCTTCTCAGGCAAATGCATTTGTTTATAGAGAGTAGCCTGGCTATGTGGGCTCCATAAATCTGTGTATTTGTCAGCAGGATGTGACAGGCTTTTCCTCTCTGACTGAGAGTCTATCGGTCTGAGCTCCAGTGGCCGTGCCCGCTACAGTCAACTCTGATTAATAACTACAAATAGAAGGGACTTGTCTGCTCAGTTATAAATGGGGACTGTGTTTGCAAGGGAAAAGATGCGCATTCTGCTTAATAAATCACAGAGCAGGACGGGAGAAAAAAAGCACACAGGAACACAGAAATATAATATGGAAACAATTTCTCAGCTGGGCTCAGTGATAAAGCTGACTGTCTTGTTTAACTTAATGCCAGCAATTACTGGGCTATGCTCTTCTGTTTTTCTTCTAGAATTTGTTGCCAGTAACTTTTGTAATGGAGGGATCAGAAAAAAAAAACAGTTTGTATTTCACTCCGTACATGCTGCTTTTCTCTTCTCTGTTACAGAAAAGCTAAAAAGTTTCCGCTCAAACATGGCTCGCTGCTCAGCAGCTAGCAAGGAAACGTCATAGTGGGAGCACATAAACAGTTTATGAGCCCTTTTTAACGCAAATAAGAATCATTGCTCGAGGTCAAACACTGTACAAAAAGAATCCAGGGGCCACTATTTAACCAGCAAGACATCAATTAAACACCCATTTAAATCCTGGAACATACATTTCTACAACAGGGAGACAGAGAAGCTAAATGTATTGGACTCGTAAGGTGTTACTGATGAGGGAGTAAATCTGCAGTTGGAAATAAAACACCAGGAGTACAAAGAGTTCACTTTTACCTCAGCATCTAAAAACCACATAAAGGTACAACAATGATTAATTAGACAAACACCTGTATACACGTGACACACAAGATAAGCCACCCCTTGTATCTTGGCAACCGTGCCCTTTTATTGCCAGGCAGCCATTCCTTTTGGCACCAGTTTTAATGGCTGCTACATCTAAGCAAATTTATCCGAGTCAAAAAGTATTTATGATGCTTTGTTTTTTAAGATGATCTTTTATGTTGGTGATCTGTCAACTATTTACTTCAATTATATTTGCACGGTGCCAACAACAGTTGCCTCAAGGCACTTTATATTGTAAGGTTAAGAGAAAACCCCAATAGTCAGATGACCCCCTTTGAGCAAGCACTTGGTGAAAGTGGGAAGTAAAAACTCCCTTTTAACAGGAATAAACCTCCAGCAGAACCAGGCTCATGGAAGGGGAAGTCATCTTCTGTAAACAGTTAGGGGTGACACACTGTGGACGAGAGCCAGAGATTAATAATTACTAATGATTAAAGTGGTGTATAAGCACAGAGTGTGAAAAGAGATAAGAGAAGAAGAGATGCTTAGTGCATCATGTGAATTGCCTAGCAGCATAGGCCTATTATAACAGGCAATTACTACAAAACAATGCAAACTGTTAAGCTCAATATCAGTCTGAATTGATAGCGGTTATGGGAAAAAGTAAGCATCATGCCAGGAGTTAAACTGAGCCAGCCAAGTTACCCTACCATAAGATACTGAAGTTATTTTAAATCTCTTCACTCCATCTTGTATTTCAGTGCAATATTACACAACGTGTTTAGTTTATCACAAATTTATTTTAGCTACTAAGTATTTTTAATAGGGAAAGTGTACAAGTACACCAAAATCATCTCTGATGAGAACCTTGCACTAGATTATAATCATATACACTGCCCTGCTCGAAGAAACAAGTCCCACTAATATTTCCCTGGATCATGTTTAGACTTGATGAGTTATTTACAACATTTATTTCTGTCTAGAGATGCATTACTCTTGTGCCAAGATCTTGTATTAATGCTGCGAGAGTCAGACTGTTGCGTAAAGTCTTCTCTAGCCCACGCCAAAGATTCTCAATGGGGTTAAGGTCTGGACTCTGTGGTGGCCAATCCATGTGTGAAAATGATGTCTCATGCTCCCTGAACAGCCCTCTCAAGATTTCTGTCCGATAAATCCTGTCACTGTCATCTTGCTAAACCTTGAGTGCAATGGAAGGCTGTTGCCTATTTGCTTAAATCCAGGTGGTGACCTTTTTTGTGTAGATATAGGGTAGGTCCCAGTTTTTCATGTGGAAGATGGTCAGTTTAACCGCAGGTGGCATACTCGCTCTACTTTTAAGATTAGGCTTAAATTAAAACTTTCCTATTTGATAAAGCATACAGTTAGGGCAGTATCAAGTGGCCATGAATCCTCCATTACTTACCCTGTAGTAGGTCTAGGTTTATTGCAGAGGGAAGAGATTTTCTTCTTCATTTACATTTTTCATTCTATGCATAGATACACCACTTTGCATTTAATCATTGGTTATTGTTAATCAACTAATAAGCAGTCTCACAGTCAGTCCCACCCCATCTTATCACATCACGGGATTTCAGAAACTAATGGGTGATTATCAAGGCACCTGGGTCCATTTTTTATACTGTCTATTGGCATGCTAACATACACAACCTAAGCAGCATGTTGTCGGCAGGACTGTCCCAATTAACAGCTGCTCCAGCCTTTGTGGTCTTTGAAGGAATTGGGACACACGTATACTTATCGCTTGTTAGCAATGTTAGCTAAAACCCGATAAGCATGTCAGTGGGAGCATATAAAGAGCTCTTTCAAAAGTCGAACACAGAACAAAATTGTACTATTTCTGCTACAACAATAATTAAACAAGAAACCTTTACTATATGCTCTATGAGCCTGCATTTCACAATGTTTCACCATTAGCATGCTAACAACGGTCACTGGCAATGCTAATGCTATCACTTGCTAATTAGTATTAAAATCAAAGCCACTGAGAATATTAAGTTTAAATTATTGGACAAATTATTTGAATTGTGACAACATTACGGTGCTATCGTACAATCTACCTGAGCATCATGCCTAGCTGTATAAAATGTCATTTAAATCTGTCAAGTAGTCAGAGTGAATTGAAATGGTAGCTCAATCTGACAAGTACTGCCAAAGCAAGCAAATGAATCCAATCCAGATATTTATTAGAAACACTACTGCATCAGTATTTATTATGGTTTCTTTTACAATGTACTGGTTAATACGGGGAAAAAAAAATCTGTGCTTCAACCTCAGTAAAAAAAAAAAAAAAAAATCTGACAGGGAGTGGGTGGTTTGTAAATCATTTTTTAAATGTTTTTTTTAACTGTACAAAAAAACACTGGCCTCACAAACACAGACATGTGGGTGTAAAGGAAGCACATTTACTTATCAATAAACACAGATTTTTCATTAATGTTCCGCTATTCAAATTTGGATTATGCTCAGTAGAAAAACATACAGACTTTCAAAAGCTGTCAGATTGTGAAGAATATCACAGCTAAACATATATATATATAGAAAAGCAGCTGCACCATATTCCAGTCCTGGAAGACACCCTTACAGTTAATTAGATAAAGGTGTTAGGTGTATCTCTCCTCCGAGTTGGAGGCTTGCTTCACTGCAGTTGTGGAATGGCAGAACCTCAGTGATGCTCTCCCACAGGTTTAGCTGGAACAAGCGAGCGCACAGCGAGGGCGCTACCAAACGCTGATTATGTCGCCTCTGCTGCTGTGCCAGCCTTGGCTGGGCCGATCAAGAGTGGGACACACATTAAATATTAACTTAATTGGTCCCAGCAGAGCCGTGCTAACATACGGCAAGCATCAGACGAAAATGTCACTGTTTCCCCAGAGCCCCCGCACACTTAGGATCAAAGACAATAACATTGGTTCTAATCTGCTGTAATTGGGAGATAAGAGATTCAATGGTACAGCATGCATAAGTGTAGCTGAATGCATTTGTGTTTGTGCGTGTGCGTGTCTGTCATTCTCCCTGATGGAGGCTTGTCAGCTCAGAGTGACAGCCAGCAATGGGACTAGTCAGAAAAGCTCAGCATCCCTTCTGGTTTCTACACTTTCCTCTCGCCACTGAACATCCATTTTATCTCTCGTCATTGAGCAGCCTGTTTAATGCATGGAAAGTTAACATCTGCGGTGGATTAGCAGGTTGCAAGTGTGGTCATAAAAGTCACATGTGCTGAAGGTGTACAGTACATACACTCTTCACTGCACCACCTCCCGCTGGTCCACCACTCTCATGCACTACAATTAACTCTAATGGTAGCCATAGTGAAAGTCTAATCATAAATGGTGCATTTTAAAGATAGTGATTAGTGATTAGTCTGAACCTCTCCAGGGAAGTTTAATCTCCACTCAAAGTAGTTAATGTACTTGCTAAATGAACTGCTCCCTCCATAATAGCACCAAGAGCAGTGTGGAGTCGAGATTACTAAGCAGCGTGGGCAACGTTCTAAATCACTCACTAAAAACTACAAAACCCTGGAGACGCCGTGGCTTACCACAGCACCAGGTTGTGTGAGAGACGGGGAGCTAATGCACTCAAGGGCGTCGAGGGAGCTGCAGAGTATGGCAGCACAAGTGCTGGAGTCAACAAGCTCAGATGTCCTTTTCTTGGCTAAGAGAGCCGGAGAATAGCAGAACAAGAGCTAGCCAGAGGGAGAGGGAGAGAGAGAGAGAGAGTTTTTGTGCACCAGCAGCCTTCCTGCATCCAACGCAGACACACAAGGTCATTTCAACAGTCGCACACTACTGGGTCATCGGATGAGCTGAATAAAGAGAGCACGCTACTGTTAGAGCTACTCTAATGTCAAGTAAACATATGGGCTGAAATGCATCTGAGGAAAAACACTCTTTAGCTCCCGTGTCACATTCTTTTATACACAGTTCATGAGATTTTTCGCCAGGACTTTTCCTGAGTGTGCCGGCTATCATGTGATAGCAGCAGGGGCAAAACTGAAGCACAAACGGATAGACGTAAGGCATGAGAGTCTGTACACAGTTTCCATCTCATCTTCAACTCCCTGACTGTGAGAGCGCTAATTTCAGTGCAAGCTCCCATTGACTTTCGTTTGCCGATGTCCCGCAGACGTCCGTAGATTGCGCTTGTGGAGGGGAGGTTAGCCATTAAAGCCAGCGAAAGTGGACTCTAGCGGGAAGTGGCACTTGTGGCTGTGGGTGGTGTCAGAAGAAGATGAAGAGCTCAGAGGGAGGGGGGGGAAAAAAAGAGGTGTGGAGAGAAAGAGCAAGAGAGAGAAAAGAGCGAGCGCACAGGGGTTGCTGGGAAAAGATTGGGACAGGCTCTCCTTTTAATTTACTAATTAACCATGCAAATGAAATCTTAACAGGCTACTCAGAGGCAGTCCTCAGGGGAGGGAGGAAGGCATTAGTGCTTGATTATACTCTGTCCATGTGGAGGGGGGGAAAAAAGCGAAGTTGAAATATGCTGTTGAACAAAGTGATGGGAAACTTCTCGGCCTGTGGCAGCCAAGCAGAACCACAGCTTGGCTGAAGGGAGTGAGATGTCTCCGTTGACATGGATGGAAAAAGAAAAGAAAAAAAAAAACAAGAACAACAACCCAAAACACATACAATATATATTATGTGTTTAAGCTGGATGTGTGGATTGTTTCAACTGACTTAGGGTCAGTGTGTGTGTGTGGTGGCGGGGGGGCAACCATCATCTGAACAAATGGCACAATCCCGAACTGTACATGGTGTAATCAGGCCTGCGATATCATTCAATTTATCATGGCTGTGCCTACCTCCTACACGTCTGTGCCAGTTTCTGCTAACCTTTCAATGTGACAGACGAAGCTGTTAGACATAATAGTCCACCTATCGCTCAGCTGATTCGAAACCGGCCAATCTCAGGCCTCACAAACTGCCCGTCACACACAATAACAGGCAGCGCCACAATTTTCACAAGTTTACCTTGAAGACGTCCTGCGTGTCGTCCATGCAGTATACCCTGATGTTGTATTCCAGCGTGGAGCAGTAAGCGTCCGAGAAGAGCACCAACCTCAGGCGCTTGGCGGCGCCCATGTGCAGGGACTCGCCCACCAGGGCGAATGTACCCAGCTGCTCCGAGAAGAGCCGGCACGTCTCGGCCTCGAGCTGGCAGTAATAAGGGTCTGACACCAGCTCCTCTCCCATCAACAGGACGTCCTGGAAGAGGCAGGGGTGGGGGAGGAAGAAAAAACAAAGTGTGGATAGAAGGTCAGGCACCCAATTTATGTAGGAGGCAAGGGCGATGTGTTTGCCTGGATATCTGGTGTGTATGTGTGTTTGCAAAAGGCTTTTAGGAAAGCAGACTGGCGCAGTAGAAGGGCATCAAACTCTATTGTTCGTGCTGTGTGACAGAGTAACATCAAAGGTAAAAGGTCTTTAGGTAATGTTTAGATCAGGGGGAAAAAGGTCTTCTTTGATCTCGCTTCAGATTCCTTTTTCGCCGCACTACGACTTACTACATCCTGACATAAAGACACACACCTCCTCATACAAAGACATACATCCTATAGAACACCATCAGTTTCCTTAATAATGCATGAACGAGGTATTCAGTTAACATGAAAGGAGACTCGAACAGATTCCTGGCAAGAACAGACGCTTCTGCAGAAAGGAAAGACTGGAGGTGCACTGAATATTGGATTATCGGGATTGCTGGAATCTCCTACAACGATTGTTTCAGATTTGTTAAGAAAGGTGAAAACAACTTGCCAATTTATCTGCAAAACAACAGTCTTGCCTGATGGTGAAAAGTGCTGAAAAACACTAACAGGCAGTACAAGAATTAATTGGTGCTTTAATTTGCCACGGAGAACAAAAAAAAATGACAGGTTTAAAACAAAAACAGAAAAAAAACCCCTCAGAAACAACACCTTGCATTTTTCATCGTCGTTACAGAGCTGAAATCCTGCATCGCAAATCCATCCTTAACGAGGATGAGGTACCTATGAAAATATCCCATTCCATCACAGTACGGGATATTTTTCATGAGATAATTCCACTGCTCTCTGAGATAATTTGATGGAGACAAATTGGACCCAAGGTGACAACATTTTCTCTAAAATCCCTTCATGCCAGTTGACTGACTCTACCCATTAGCCAATCAAGCTGAAGAGAGCATTCTGCCTGCCAAATGCCCAGCGAGCCCCTGTAGGATCGATTCAACCAGACACCATCTACATCAATAGAATTAGTATTGACACAATTCATTTGCTATGCAACCACAATGGAGTCTCACTTTTTCATCATCTTAATATTTCTACAGAGTGGAACAGAGACCGAGGTGGCTCAATTACGCCACTAAGCGCTCGCTCTACGAGCAATTCATTCCTCTTTCTCCCTCTGCAAGCCTGTTATCCATTTTCACTCTCTCGCCTTGCGTCGTCCTCGCCTGCATGGCGTTCCTCTAGATCTGCATTACCTGCCTGTCTACTTTTCCTCTCTCTCTCGATCTTATTTCTTTTCCCCCCCTTCCACTTTCCGTCACACTCCGCAGTTATTTCCACCCTCTCGCCTTCTATTCTCTTGTCCACCTGGCACTTTTATCCCCTTTGGTGTCCACGCAAGCCAGGCCGCTGGGCTATATTTGGTCCGGCCGATGATTAAAAGGGCTGGTCTAACCTCTGCCCCAGACAGGCCAATCCATCCCACAGACACCCCACCGCTGCCACACAGGGGGGGGGAGGGAGGCTGAATAATTTATGCACAATATCGGACATGAAAGAAGACCTAGTAACACTCTGAAGCCCACCAGCACCCTTTCCAATCTCTCTGGATTGTCGAGATGGTTACACTACCTCAAACTGTGCTTGTTTGTGTGCGTGTACCTGTGTGTGTGTGTGTGTAGGCAGGTTCTTCCCAACTGCATCCTATTGGAGTCTGGCACTTCTGGTTACTTTCAAATTTCATGGATAGAAAAATGGGGAGGGAACTCTGTAATTGGAAGCCGCGGTCAGAAATGGTCAAGGAGCACTCAGAGGAGTACTTTGAGGATCAGTAATTTGCTTAGAGAATGTCTGTTTTGAGAAACATGTTGCTTAGCAACTCATCAGCTAGAGAGCCAGTGCTTCCAGGCTTTTGTTCAAGCCCCGATGAGAAAACACCTGATGGTCAATAATTTAAACCTGATGGAGTAGATGAGTGCCGGGTCAGAACTATCTCCGCTATATACCACTGAGTGCCTTTCAAGTCACTGCTGAGCAAGTTTGTACTTTTTTGGGGAGAAAAGCTCTGAATAAGTTTAGAAGACTTTACAAATTCACTGGATGGCAACTTTGTCTTTCTCCAAAGGATTTGTGCTGGAATGATAGTGCCGTCTTACCTCCCAAGCGCCCTCATAATTCTGCTTCTTAAGGCGCACGGCCCAGTTATCCAGGCATGCATCAAAGCAGTGGTCCATGCTGAGGATAACTGGCCGGCTCAGGACCACCCCCGGAGGGCCACAACTCACAATGGGGCTGAGAAGGGTCTGGCAGCCAGCCACGGGTAACCTACACCGGGGAGAGGAGCAAGAGAGAGCGATGGATGCTTTTCCTCATTGAGATATAAGTGAGAATTTATCGGTCTATTGTAAGCAGGATATGATACTGTCACCTCTGCAAATTATCTAGCAGCTGTAACAGAGAATCATAAAAGCCTGCTGGACTCGCTGACTTGTCGCACCAAGCTGTGATGACTGAGTAATAACATGACACTACCGCGGCATGCTGCAGTGGCTGTGCCACGAGAGACTGAAGTGCAGCAAGCCAGATAAACAGTGTTTTCCCAAGCAATTCATTTAACTTAAATAGTGCACATCCCGGTAAAAGGCTACGTTATTTATTTACATCCTTTCTCCACAGTACTGGCACAGACTGCTAAGCCGTTCCTAATGGAACAGTAGAGCATCAAAACAAACAGCCTAGTGGCAGGGAAGACTGCCAGTTAGACAGCGTTAAAGAGACCCACCTTAAATCTTCCTTCCTCTGAACAGTGAGATAAATCTCATAGATCTTTCCTCTGGGGATGGCCTCGGGAGGAATGAGCAGACTGATTCCTAATGCAAATAACAACAAAGGGAGAGAAGAGAAGAGGGGGGTGAGCAGGAGGGAGGGAGGGGGACAGGCTCATTTGTTCAGAGTGAACAACGCTTTTGTCATCCCACAAAGGAAGCCAGCCTACTCGACAAAACTGTAAGGCTGCAAAAACAAAAAACAAATCTATTCTGAAGGTCAGAGGCAGCCTCCTTCAGGTACAGTAGATGCAAATCTCTGCACCGGCAGCCGAGGCGGCACACGTCCCCACGGTCAACAATTAGCTGAGACAAAAGCGCACGCTGCATCGCAGTTTAAATGTCCTCCGTCTGCCACCAAGTAGATAATTGAGACCATGGAACAGACTACTCCAGGAAAATTGCACTTCCCCAGGAGAGTGTAGGAATGCACACTGGAGAATAGGCAGAGCTATTGAAATAGCTTGAGTGTTGTGGCATTTGAGCTGTGTTTCCGGTGCCAAAATCATCCACTTAGAATCCCATTTTAAATGTTGTACAAATAGAGACTATGTGACACAATCTCAACAGTCTCTGCATGGTAAAACTGGGCCTCTATTCACCATAAAACATCTGTTTGAATAAGGCGAAGGTGCCTAAATGCTCACAGCCTTGTCTGAATCTATAAATCATGTCTTCCATGTGCCCACTCTGAAACTGTGCTAAATGACAGTATATCTGCTTTGAGTTGAAGCATAAAAGTGGTGAGATTTTTTCCCCCCCCCTCTGTGTCCCACTGAGAAGATGGGTGCCAATGCGTGGTATAGTCAACATCGCTTTGAGTTAATCCATGCATAAAACATCTTCAAGAGAGTGGAAGAGAGGCACAGAGAGAGAGAGAGTGGTGGCAAGGAAACAGGAAGGAAAAAAAGGCCCCTTTCTTCCACAAGACGTACCAGCATCGGCTAATCTGGACAGCTTACAATGAGCCAAATGAAAACACTGTCTTCCAGTATAATTATATAAGCTCTAATCGGCTAATGTGAAGAGGGGAAGCAAAATAGGGACTTAATGATGACGCGGTGGACTTTTTATATCTTTTATAAGGCTGATCTTTGCAGTCTTTTTCCCCCTTCTGTCTGTTCTCTTAGCATAAAACTGACACTTGTGGACATTGGCTACAACCCCCAACCAGCTCTGTCATTAGCCAAGGAAATAATTGGAATAATTTGTTATAGATTTTATTCCACATCTCTTTCGGGGCACGGCGTCTTCGGCACACACTCATTATATCTCATCTTGTCACTGCACTGAATGTTCTTTTTAGTTATTCATGCATTGCTGTGTAGATGTGGCTTGTTGACAAATATAAGCAGAATCGCTGTTTTTTTTGTGTGATTTAATGTTGGATTAGTGACTTTTTCGGTGTCCCGTCTTATTTCCCTCATAACTGATGGAAACTAATTTGTATCCCATACAGAAATACAGCCTGTGCACTTCATGGCTGTCCTGGCATGAACCTATTAGGAAACATGAGTTTTAAGGCTGAATAGTCTGCAGTGGGTTTCAACAAGACAGTAATGTTTATGGGACTGAGCCGTTATTGTTCAATTCTCCTTGCAAATGTCCAGTCACAGACACTAAAGCAGGTGTAATAAAACATATAAAGCCAACTCGCTCCCGCAGCATTTCCAAACACAGAGCAGATGTTAAATTGTTTAGATCATGTTTCTTTGTGAGCTTAAAGTATAGCTGTAAACAGAGGAACATCCTACAGAGGATTAAAGATGCCATTGCATGACACAAACTTACAATACAGGGCCCGAATAAAACAACTGTTTTTACAGTCCAAAGTTGTTGTTTTTTTATTCCACTTTTATGAATCACGTTTATAAGTTTGGGAGCAGTAAAGTGGAAATTGCTTTCAAGTTTGAGGTTTCACTTCTTATTACGAAGAAGCCAAGAGCTGTAAACAGAGAAACATACGGAGTGGTGGGTTAGCTGTTCTCTGTGCAGTGTTTGTGACTGTCATTCTGCATCAGCCGCTATATGGACCTCCAGGGCAAAATCAACTTCTCGAGACTGACAGATAGTCTGCTGCACCTTATGTCTGCAGCACAGTTGCCTGTTGTCACAAAGAGCTAACAAAGAAATAATGTATGGAGTGCTATTAGTTCAGCCAGCAACTGCATCTTTGGTAATAAATAATAATAGACGATAGCGTGAGCCTTCATCCATCCAAATGATGTTACCAAAGAGACGTAATAACACAGACTATAGAGAGGCAGCAACCACATCACAACGGGTTTCTGATCAGACCTTCTGATCATTTCCAACACCTGACATTTGATTTTAGGATAAATTCAAAACGTTAATTACTGTTTAAACTGAGCTATTGAAAAATAATAGTAGGTTTGTGAAGGTCCCGTCTCCCGTCATCCCCAACTGGTCACAGCAGATGGCTGCCATTATCTGAGCCTTCTTCTGTTGGACATTTCTTCCTGTTAAAAGGAAATCTTTCCTTCCCACTGTTGCTAAGTGCTTGCTCATAGGGTGATATTTTAATACTGGTGTTTTCTCTGTATTACTGTAGTGTCGTCACCTTACAGTATAAATTGCCTTGAGATGACTGCTGTTGTGACTTGGTGCTATATAAATAACACTGAACTGAGGTGAAGATCAATTTCTAGAGCAACCTTTAAATAAAATGCAAGCTGCATGTCTGTAGAACTTGCAGCTTGCATGCATTTTAAATTCTTCAATGTTACTTTTTGCACTCACTTTTTTTTTCTTGTCATAACTTTCATTTATTTTGATGTAATTCCCCATTTTTTTTGCACTTTTACACTTAAGGAATAAGAAAGTATCAAAGTTCTCAGGGTCCACCATTTGTGTCCTTTTAGCTCCTATTTTAGCCAAGTTCTCACAAGCACATAAGGGGAACCTTTGAGTGACTCAAATGTACATTTATTGGTCTATGCCTTGTATGCCCCTCATGTGGTGAGTGGCACAGCAATTTGGAAATGTATACATAATATTTATATCTCTATATATATATAGAGATATAAATAAACCAGCATAGAAATTATAGTAGAACTTTGATGTTAGCTTTAAAAATGATAGAAACAGGGAAATTGGTCCAGGCTTTAAGCCTTTATATGCAGCAGAGGAAATATAATGGAATTTTGACTCAACAAAGCAAAATATAAAAAAATCTTCCCTAGCATTTCCTCTCAGCTACCTAGGGCATCCAAACAAACAGTGCAGCAATGTAGAGAGAAAATGCAGAGAGGCTGGAATAGGATTACAAGAAAGCAAAAGGCCACAACAACCAAAGCGGATCCAAATAGGCCTATTTCACAGCAGCTTTTTTCCATAAAATGTTGGCGAAACACACATACTAATGCCATTAACAGAGGTTCTGTTTTATTCAGGCACAAAGCCTTTATTAATGTGATTAGTAACACCTGTGTTTCCCTGCCATTTTATGTCAAATTGGCTGCAGTGTGGCTATGGTTTACTGAAAACCATTAGCCACAGGCCTGCACACGCTGGTAATGTGGGCACGAAGGATTTGTTAGTCAGGATAATACATCATGTTCGGTGGTTGGAAAGCAAACAGAAAAAGATCCCCTGAGGGTACGAGGTTCTCAGGGGGACCACCCTAGTTAGCAGCAGAGCCTCAGGTGGGTAGAAAACTGTTTGGTAACCCCACACTACTTGCCCCGGGTAGTAAATACTTCCTCCTGATGTTAACCTTATTATTTCTTCTGAAAACACACATTAAGGCCCAGTAATGTACTGCACTGGTGTTATTTGGTCTCAGAAAAGGGAGCATTATGATGCAATATGACATCAACCAAAGCCTCCAATAAATAGCCAATAAATATGACTTTCTGTTTACAACAATAACAGACATGTAGCAACAGTGAGCTTTTTGTTTACAGGTGATTACAATATGTGAACAAAAGCTTAAGTGGAAGTTTTTTTTGTTTTTGTTTTCTAAGCCAAAACAATTGATCTGAACAGTGTGAGAGTTGGAATGAAACCTAAATAGACCTTAATGAAGAACCTACCTGTGTTGGGGATAGTCAGCCTGCCGCCTAGGAAGTTGAAGGTCCCATAGGAGGTGTTGGCCACATCGCGGGGCAGCGTTTTAAAGTAGCTCTGGGTGGAGAGCCTGCTTACAAACTCGGCAGCAGCGTCAGAGTTGAGCTTGCCGTTGTGCAAGGTGTGTGAGCCGTTGGGAAGCGGGTCCAGCAGAGGCCCGTTGGTCATCGAAAACTTCCCGGTGGCATCGTGGCGAGAGCGCAGGGTGCCTTGATAACTGGTGGTGGTGGTGGTTAGATCAGGCTGGATGGTGAGTAAATGGGAGTTCTCTGTTTAGATGATAAAAAAAAAAAAAAAGCAAAAACAGCAAAAGACAAAAGCAAACGTGTGAATCTCAAAGAGTGGTGGGAGGAAGGCTGGGGAGGGGAGTGGAGGGAAGGGGTCCCTACATCACAGAGACAGACCTCGCACTCTCTAAAGCTGTTGCGAGCTGCACAGAAAACCGAAACAAACACAGAAAAGAAGACACATGGCGCAGAAAACAAGAGCACTCGCACGCGCGCGCACACTCTCGACAATACACAAACACAAATTCCAGTCAAAGCCAGTCAATTCCCATCTTCTCTCTCTCTCCATTTCTCTATCACTGTCTGTCTCTTTAGCAACCACACAATCAATTCCAAACAGAACTCAGATGCAGCTTAGCATCCAGAATATATAAAGGCTTTTTTCCCCCCTCTCACACTGAATCACAGACACAGCAACCCAGTCCCCCATCTCCATCCAACTCAGACAGTTGTATTTCTATTACTCGCTGTTAAACCTCTGAGGCTCCACACAGGCAGTAAACAGAGTGGGTACATTTCCTGACAATAAGGTGCTGGCGAAACATAATGTGTCAGGCAGGCAAATAAACAGCTCGTGCACCACACACACGCAACATAATAAATCTCGCTTAGACCACAATCCACTGAAAACAAATTCGCGCCACCTCCACAACCACAAACAAACAGCACCGGTGGTACATGTAGATGAGTGCGGCACAGTCACTGTGGCGAAGACGGACAGACGAAAGCGGAACAAAGAACAGTGTCCTACTGCTGTGGGGGGGAGGCCTGCGTGACCGCGGCGCCCACACACCTGGCTTGCTGGGCTTGATGCCCATGGGCTGGAAGCCAGTGGTGAGGATGGAGGAGTCGGCCACGTCGGCATCCAGGCCTTCCTTCTTGCGCCTGTAGACCAGGACGACCACAATAAGCAGCAGGGTCAGACACAGGGCCACGGCCACCATGCCCACGTAGAGCGCCACATCCTCAGCTCCGCTCACGGCTGCAAAGGGGAGGACAAAAAGAGGAAAGAAAGAAGAGGAGGAAAAATTACTAATCAAGACTGGAGGATGCCCTCTGGTGTTCAGTGTTAATGTCATTTTGAGCTGCTGCAACATGTTCTGTGCAAAGGTCTCACTCGAGGACCTGTTTAATGGCATGAAGCATTCCTTCGCTGCCACCTAATGTTGCTTGACGCCTTCATAAAAAGTTAAGGGAGCCAACATTATCAAATACTGCAGGCCAGAATTTCTAAAACTCTGAGGTCTCGATGTCAAGCTGTGGGGAAAAAAAGCTAAACAGGAAAAAGCAGTTTCTGAAGCAGATTTTCACCGTTTCACTGTCACATTTTTTCATTTCTGCACCGGATAAATATATCTTAGGCCAGCATGTTCTTTTACCTCTCTTTCTCTAAGCACACAACACCCCAAGAGAAACAGAGAGGGGAAAAAATGAAGCATTTGCTTATGAAATTCTAACTCCTCGTATTGACTGCCTGTCTCACAAATGCACAGGAGTGTCTTTCTCCCAAAAGTACAGTATGAAGCTGACAGCCAAGCTGAGACAAACATCAATGTGTCTGCTTGTTTCTGTCTATGCACGTGTGTGTGTGTGTGTTTGTGTGCAAGTATGTGTTTTGCAGCAGAATGGGATTTGCCACGGCTGTCTCCCGGGGCTGGGGGAATTTGGTGGTGGAGGTGGAGGATGCTCCTGGAGCCTTTGTGGAGGGCCATTGTGCTGGTGAGCCACGGGGGCGTAGCGCTGTCAACTGAACACAGTCAAGGAGGGGACGCGCTGAACAGCGCAGCTTTGAGGGATGGAGAACAACAGCAAAGGTTAAAGCACTGCAGGCTGGCATGTGGTGAGTTGACAACAAAAGGAGGAGAACAGGAGCAGGGAGCGCGAGGGGAGCAAGTGTACAAGAAAGAAAACGCAGAATTAAAGAAGACTAAAGCGAAGACAGCGTGTGCCTGCGACTGACAGCATGTGGGATTTGCATTTCAGCAATGAGCAGCAGTAACACGTCCAAAAGGTTTGTGTCAAAATCAACCTGATTACCATTAGGTTTGTCATCTTTTGATAAATATCTCCAGGCTGTCACCACTGTGTAATCCTACTGCATGACAGGAGCCGCGCTCAACCTCAGAAACACAGATTTGACAAGTTTTAATTGGTGTTTGTAAATCTGTGACACGAGAACGCCACAATTGAATTAGCGGAGCGCTAAAAGTTGACGAGAGAGAGAAAGGGAGAAAAAAATAAGCTCCCTTTCTGTCTGCAGCTCTCATTTCTATTCATCTCTTTACATCAATTTGTCCTTGCCTCTCCTTTTGCCTTGAAAAATCCATCTTTGGACAAAGCTGCCTGACATACCCAAGTGTTTAAGAGAAATGCCAGAATCTATTTCATGGGTGATTATCTCAGTACAATCTGATACTTTAAGTAGCGGATTATATGCAGCCAACCTCTATGGCAGCTCTTCGTAATGCCAGAGATCTCTTGACATGTAATCGATCGCGAATGACTGGCTGAAGATAAACACGAGACTGTGTGTTTTGTTCGTGATGCTACGTAGCACACCTGCACATAACACACTTAAAGCATGAGGACTCTTATCTGATGCATTCAACCTTCCTCCACCTCTCCTCTTGTCCATTTACCTGCCTTTGCCTCGCTCTCCTTAGAGAAGCACCGAGGTGCTTAACTGCAAGAAGCCTGGCTAAACTTTCCCTCCCTTTCACAATGAGCTCCAAAAAAAGAAAAAAGAAAGAAAGAACAAAAGGATGAGAGAGACTCTGGCTGAACTTCTCATTAGAGTTCCCAAATCCAATTGTCTTGGCGAGCCAAAGGCCAGATGATGCCGTGATATTTGAACTTCTTGTGCTGCAGTCCGCTGGGAGATGTGTAGTTTGACTAAAGACAAAGCAACACCCGTCAGTGAGGAGACGAGCCAGCTGGTTTCCGCTGATTGGATAAACATAGCCTTAGATTGGCCGGTTGCTGTTTACTTGCTAAGGGCACACCAAAGACAACTGGCTAACCTCAGATGCAAAGATCCAGTATCTCGACTCTTCCCTTTTCCCAGCATCCTCGCGCCCAGACAATAAAGCCAGCCAGTCAATCAAACAGCTCTTCCTTCTTTCCTTTCTCTCTATTCTGGCTGTAATCTCTGGTGGCTTATCAGAGCATCGCTGAGTGAAGTTTTATCTGACCCGCCAGGTGTCCTAGCGAAACGATCCCGATGCTCACAACAACCCTGACCAACAACTGCTCTCAGCTCCTCCTGGCCCCACTCATTGATTTTCATGATGCCAGCCAATAATTGAAAGGACATCCATCACAGTTTAATTGACATAGCTAATCAGGTTTTATAATTGGATGGGCTTTACTTTAGTCCCTCTCTCACACTCTCTCTTTCCAATCGCACTCCACACCAATTTACCTCTCTTCCTCTCCGCCATCAGTCATTCCATCTTTCATTTCCACTTGCCTTAATTGCTGGCAAAAACTTTTGATTCTCTTTGTGTGTGACCTCTCGTCATGAGTGACACCCGCCTGAGGATAATCTGTGGATGAGATGAGCTTTTTTCAGAGTTGACCTCAGGCCAATCTCTCTTTGCGCCCGTCTCCACGAGCTTTTGCTTCAGCTCCTCAGATTCGCTCCGGGGCTGGCTGGTAGGGGATCAGTTTCTGACTCGAGATGGGCCGGTATAATTCATCTCCTCTAAGGCGGTGTATCTGGCTCCTGTTGAAGTTTGGACTCTGGCTGTATTGACAGTCAGCACAATGACCGCACCTGATAGTCCTCCACTCTCTCTGCCTGCTTTTTTCCCCCCCTCTCTCCTGCATTGATAAATAAGAGTTTTGGAGCCTCCTGCGCCTCTTTCCCGGGCATTTATCAGGACACCTGAGAATATATTTCATCCCATGGCCAATCCTAGTCACTCGCCCGAAGATGAATAACACAGGAGTTCTTAAGGTCAGGGAAATATGGCTACTAAAACTCTCAACGCGAACGTGACTATTACTATCTCCACAATACAGTCGTCCCATCCCTCAGCAGGCTCTGGTGAAATATGGCCCAAAATAAATGTCCGGCTATTTTTCACAAAGCACCGTGACCCTGCTCTGACAAACAGAGCGGTGACGGAAAATCTCAGCCTCCGCGCCGCCAAATTAGCTCTGAAATAAAAAAAAATAAATGCAAAAAAACCCAAAAAAACAAGAACAGGCTGAAGATAAATTAACAGTTTGATGTGTTTTGCTCAATAATTTGTGACACATCCCAAAATGGGATGCTGCTGCAAATTAAGTTCATTACCTTCATTACACACATTAAGCCGAATAATTGTTTTTATGTTGTCCTAATTCCCTGCGCCTGAGAAAACGAGCACCATTATTTTCCCTCCACTATCCTTTCTCTGCCCTCTAACACCTGTCTCCCATTTTGGTTCTGCCATGCTGCCCGCATATTTATTATTCCCCCTGCGTAGATTTTGCATAGAGTATATGTTTGGGCTTCACTTGTTTGTTTTATGAAAATGATCCTTCCTGGGTCAGATTGCTTTTCCAGCTTTGTGTTGCACATTTATTCTCATGTACATCTAAAAACAATAACCTCATCGAACGCGTTTCATTTCTAGCTTAATGAGGGAGATTAGACGTGTCTGTGAGGTCCTCAGACGCAGAGTGACTGTGGTTCACTGTGCAGTTGTTGTGTTAGATTGCGCTGGGAGAGCAGGGTGCCTTTTGTTTCAAGGAGGGGGAGTTTTCCATCTCAGCTAATAGCCTGCAGACATGGTTGAAGTATGGGAGTTGCTGACAAGCCAAAACCATCTTGCTATTTTGCTTATTATAATACTTCACACAGCAATTGTCTATGGAAACACATCTGCTGGGAACAGATTGGGACAGGCATTCTTCAGAGGCCGGCGCTCCGCTCTGCTCTGTCAGTGTAAATACTGAGTGACTCTGTGTGTGCGTTTGCTCGACTGTGTGTGTGTGTGTGTGTGAAGAACAATGACTGGCATCTTTGTGTATATATATCTTGCTTCTCTTGGGAGGAGCTGCTGACCTTTGATGATGGGCTGACTGAACTCCCTGGTTCACTGCACCAGCCAAACCCGGCTATCGGTGGACACTCGCACATACGTGCACTTGCTTGCGTTGCACTAACACATGCAGCACACAATGCAGGATTCGCATGCAATTCCAAACAATCCTCGCCAGCCAAGCATCGGTCTATTTGATCACATCAATCACAGCAAAATACATAATTCAGTTTATTAATTCAGTGGCCCATGTCAACTGAATCCCCATTAAAACTCAGAGTTTACCATGCAGATCAGCCAGAGAGCACACTATTTATAACATTTTCTCTATGAGACGCCACCCAGAGACTCATTGTGGGCAACATGCAGTATCTTTCTGTCTTTGATATCTGTAGGAAGTGACAGAGCTCTCCCTTCATGTCCATCTGTTCTGCAGAGGACCCCGTGGTGTCACTTTTCCACTCAGCTGCCGTCTCCGGCCATATGAGCCTTGCCCTTTCTCATCCTGACAGTATGCACATGCCCTATTAATGACACGCAGGGGAGTGGCACCACAGTATAATCTGGCTTGAATTAAACAGAAAAGTGCACATGCATTTCCCTACGCTTTAATATACGCACAATATGAGATTAATCACAATTTTAAATGCACCAGTGTAATTGATAGGTTGTGTTGTAATCAGAGGAGAGATGCTTTTATTCCTGGTTTTATTAACAGGTCATAGAGCAACACGGCACCAATATGCAAGGTAGGAAAGAAGGTACATTACCCAATGATAATTAGAAATGATCATCTGAAAAGGTCACACAGGTGGGGATGAGCCAGCAGTGGGCTGCAGATTAATCTTTTGTCTGTACGAGTGTTTAATGAGATGGACACCTTTCCTTCACGAACTCTTTGTAAGATGAACTCAACATCTATGACAAAAAGGAGGCTTCAAGCGTTTGATCGGATAAAAGGAAGAGGGTGAGGAAGAGGATCCTTTTTTTCCCCCAAAATGGAAAATGTTTTTTAAAAAATCAAGTAAAAAGCCTTTCCCTCCTATTCCCTTCTAGCATTTACTTGAGGGGCTAATTGATGCTAATGTTGTACACCTGTTCTCTTTGTATTGTTTGTGATCTACTTGTTATAGCTGATGAGGTTGTGAGACTGAACCCTGTTTAATATTTACCTTTGAATAAATTTTTCCACTTCAGCCTTGAGTGGCATGCTTCTTTTTTTAAATTAACAGTGTATAATCTAGCAAAAGCTCTCAGATGCTGTTTTGAGTGCATTTATTGGTTTTTAAAATGTTCATTTGCCACTCATCAGCTCAGTTTTAATACACAAATACATAACAAAACAACCATCTACTGATCCTTGTGCCAGAAACTGGCTAAAAAAAAAACATATCTAAAGTAGATGTTTTGTATTGTTTCACTGAGTTGAAGAGTGAGAGTTATCTTGTGGTGCGTGGGTGGTGGTGCACTCACTCTGTGGACACTGCTCGCTGGTACAGTTGAGAGACTGGAGATCAAGCCCCTGGCAGTCTTTGCCCCCTGTGCCAGGTGAGGGCTGGGTGCACTCTCTGCTCCTCCACATTGAACAGTCTGCGCCACATGCTGACCACTTGCTCCACTCGCTCCAGCCTCCGTCCACTAGAAAAAAACAATATAAAAAAAATAAAAATAACAGTGGTGAAACACATGCACAGCAGCTAAAACTCAAACGAATTCTCTTCAAACAATTTATTTCAACAATAAACCGGGCCATAACTCCCCTTTTTTCAGCAACAACATGAACTGGTGGAAACGGTGGCGCCAAACTATCTGTGTATTTGCGTGCGAGACGAGAACAAGTGGTTCAACACTCTGTTGCCATCCTGTGTAAATCTAAAATGGAAACCTGGTAATGAAAACCTTTTAAAGACATGCAAATCCACTTGCACACACTCAAATCCAGCAGCTGCACAGAGAAACCAAAGCGTGTAGAGCTGCTGAGGAGAGCCATATTGTCTCTATTCTGTTTTCTTTGTTTATTTTCAGCATGGAAATCAGATGCAACTAAGTTTAACCCCACTGGTGCAAGTGCGGCCTGGTAAACCAAGCTGCCAACAAACCAAAGGGAAAAAAGTAACCTCTGAGCAAGCGGTCCATACATACGCAAGAATATAAGTTTCAGATTTCTCATACACCCAGCACAACATAATATAACATTTGAGAGAAGGAACCATCTCACCCTTGTTTGATTTCTTTGTCAAGATGCTAATATAGCGCCTGCGGTGTTGCCTGAAGTGCATCCGAATGCATGACAAAATACACGTGGTATTACTCTGAAAAGAAGAGAAAGTACATTACACCTGCAGCCTGACCATAACTTCAAACAGCCCACAATGAGCACAATGGAAATGGGCCCGTAATAGTTCGGAGCACGCTTGGCTGTAAGAAATATCAGCAGCTTTACCACATACAGAGAGGAAGGCCATTTTGCAAAGGTGGGGGTAATTTGGCATTGCGGCTGGTGGCCGGGAGTAATATTGAGAGTGACACAGCGCCAGGTCTGGGGAAGGTTACTATAGGGCTAATGGGAAAAAGAGCAATAATGAGCTCTCATGGGGGAAAAAAAGGAAAAAAAACACCACTGTCTCACTCTTTCTCTCTCTCCCAAATGTAAGGGTGAAGGGGACCAGACGAGAATTACCTGAACACACACACACGCAGTAAATGCACACCTCTATGACAGCAGCAACCCTTCCCCGGCAGACCTAAGGGCAAGGAAACCTTAGTGCTCATTAATCCTAGCAATAAAGAGTGCAGGGGGCATGACCTGCAGAAAGCAGCTCTGACCCACTGCAGGTCATGAAGCTTTGGTTAATAAAACATAAGTGAGATGTTACTGAGGGCGAGGGTACCTGTTACTGCATAACTGTATCAACTAATGATTTTATTTGCTTCGCAAGCAAATCCCCAATTGGAGAAATGAGATAGAAAAACACCGCGAGCGCACAGGGTGAATTAAACCCTGCTCCCACACAAGTCTATGTGTGGGTCCGAGTGCGTGTCCGGAAATGACAACCACAGAATGAGAGACTATTTTTGTGCAAGAGCATATGTGTGTGGTAGGATGCTGACACAGCTTGGGTCCTTTTTTTTTTTGCATTCAGATCCATTTGGCAGAGAGCGCAGAACCAATCAGATAATTGTCCTTGTTTGGCATTGAGTGGACCCATCCGTGGGCCAGTGGGCTGATTATCCAGGCTGGGAATGAGAATGATTGAATAGCGAATTACATCCTAATGAATATATTATGTCGCCCCTCAGTTTATCCACACCACGGTGAAATAAAGGGATGAGATCAACATCTGCCCTGATGAGGTGATGAAATTCTACTTCTCTTATCCCCACCACAGAAGCAAGACTAATCGCCATGCAAATGACATTTTCAAACAAGAGGATTGGCGTGGCAACAAAGTGAGAATGTGGATGAGACAGAAGCACTGCGGCCCAAGGCTAAGGCAAATCAAAGAAAAATGAAGATGCATAAACAGTCCTTGATGGCCTGGCTCTGAACGCCGACTCTGCGCACGGTTTTCTCCTAGAACAATGCAACGAGAAACAACAACAAAGTCAAGATTTAACGCTAAAATTAGAGCCACACCTCATACTTCGTTTCTTCTCAGAATCCACATAAGAAAATGGTTCTCCACAGAGACAGTTTTCCTTATCAAATCCCCAGAAAGAGATTGTTAGCACTCCTGCAAAAGGCACCGCAGCCGATTTTCAATCATCTGGCACCGCAGGTTTCAGGTCAGCCAGGTCGCCGAGGAGGGACAGTAATACAATAACCCAGTGGCAAGCGCCCGTTTGGACATGTTGCCAAGGGGAGAAGCAAAAGGAATCTAACCATTTTTTAAAGGTCAGTGGGAGGGCCTGTTTAAAGCGTCGCTGTTCAAAAATGACAATCGCCGCTGATGGACACAGTCCGAGATCATCAAGCACCCACGGTTTCTGTGTCCTTGAGGGAACCCGAGGAGGTAGACAACTATCACCGAGACCAGCAGGCCTCTGCTTCCACTGTCCTGTCAACACACATGTGTGTAAGCACCACTAATCCCAGTGCTCACAAGCTGCTGGTGGCGGGGGGGGACAAAAAAAACAACCACAAAACAGCCACGGATGGCTTTGATAGCTCAGCCACAGAAGTGGGTGACGCAACAGAGATTAATCGCCCGCCAGGAGGCCCGTATTTCTGATAAACGTAATAAAAATGAAATCTTAACATTAGATGTTTCTTGCTTGCTTATTTAGGAGTAGTGTGCAATCAATAACTGAGAAAAGCAACATTTACCCCCGATTTTGACGAAACCACCAAAAACTGACGACAAAGCGACAGAGTGAGATATGAAGAGGGTGCGCCAAAGAACACAAAGAAACCAAATGGCACCAAGTGATTAAAAATGATGCAAGGCTGTCACCAGATGGCCACCATCTTTTCACACTGAAATAATGTGTTTTTCTGCAACATTTATTTTCCGTTGCCTTTATTTATTCCGCGGATAAAATATGGAGTTGCCTCAACAATCAATGATAAAACACGAAGAAAAACACGACTGTTTACTCCCAGAGTAGAATTAGACTTTTGCCTGCAGTGCAGACAGCAGACATACGGGCGCTAACTCGGATGTCTACGACGCGTACGTGCACGGAAATGCGCACGGATACGCCAGCCCTCCGAGTCTGTTTATTTTCCATCTCGCTCAATTCTCACGACTCCTGTGGCAAGCCTGAGGGATCTGTGCTATATTTAAATAATTCACAGGAGTTCGAAATCTCTTCAGGTTGTTTGGTGTTCAAACGCAAATCAAGCAACAGTTTAGTTCATTCGTGCGTGGTGGGCGTCACTGAATCGCTTCCAAAACCGGGGACTTAACTATTTGCTGTTGGCTCAGGTTTAATGTTTGTCTTTGCTGGAAATGTTGGCGTGATCTGACATTTTGCCATGACTATTGGCTCTGACCACAAGTCAGCGCAGGGCAGTCGATGAGAGGGAGACGGATGGACTGCAGAATTATGTGGGATACTTCTGCAGGGATATGCTGGGACGGAGACAAAAGAAATGAAGGAGGCAGCGAGAGGAAAGCGAAATGGAGATAAGCCTTTGCATAGCTTGGCTACTCGCTGTCTCAAGTGTTGATATGCTCTGCTCTGAGCCTCAGGCTTCAGCCTCAGCCGCCTCCTCCTCCACAGCCCCCTGTGTCTCTCTCAGCATGGAGCCCATCTGATCTGCCACACAGGCCTCCGCCAACTCTCATTAAACACTTTGGAGACTTAGACAAAAATACAGATGAGCCTCTCGAGCTTCACACTTTCCTGACGAGAGGTGGGAGCTCGGATACAAGAGTCATTGTGAACAGATACGTGGAGGGTTTTATTACTGAAGAGGCCGTCTGTGTCGGTCCGCGGAGGTCGATATAATCCATGGGTGAAATATGCCTCAGCAACTATACTCTGAAGGAGTCGTGCTACTTTTTGAATGTGGAACAATACATGGCCATCAGCATTTTACCAATAAATACATAAAGGCTCGGATGGAGGATGCAGAGACAAATTAAAGCCTTCGCATGCCGTCGGTTCCAAATTAAAACTGATTTGTTTCCAGCCAATATTCATGCGGCTCTTATCCCTAAAGGACGAGTTGAGCAAATTTAAGAAGCCATCTCTGCACTTCATAATAGGCTTTCACAGTATAAGCACCTAAAAACTCAATATATTTTTTCTATAAACCATTTCAAAGACCTAATGCTGAGAGCTAAATGCACTAGAGAGAACTAATGATGAAAAAAAACTTTGTCTAGATAATTAATGAACTCTTGAAACAAGACCAGCATTAAATCATGAAAATTTTAAGTCATAGCTCAAAAACAAAGCCGGTGTAGTAAATAAAGTTGCCTTTTAAGGCCGACTTTAAAAAAAAAATCCCACTACTTCTGACTCCAAATGTCAGCTACGTCTAAATAAGTAACATCATGTCTATCTGCAGTGTCACAGCTTCCCATGTAATTCATTTTTCTCAAGTTGCCTTCTCCTAAAACGGACTGAGCTATAAGCACGGGGATGAATAAAGTTCTCATCCGGTAACAAGTGATGCATCTGCCAGGCTGCTCTGTCCTGTCGCCCCTTCCTGAGGCAGGTGTGTTAATCATGCTCTTTATTAATTAAAGAGAGGTAGACACACAAACGCGTACAGGAGCTGTCTGTCGGTTCACCTTCGACTAACTTCAAAGGCACGTCTGTGAGTACACAAAAGTGGCGGTGCCACTTGTGATGGGAAACAACAGCTCATCATTCCCCAAGCTTTGCTACGGTGGACTTCTTGGCCTTGAGTGGGGGGAGAGAGTGAAGGGGGAACCCCTCTCCCCAGCAGACAGCTGGGGGCTTCACTGATGTTCCCCACAGCAGACAGGTAACGAGTGACAAAAGGGGGCAGAGACGAGCATCTGTTGCCAAACAACAGGGCTGATAGGGGTGCGAGCGGGGTCGCGGTGCTTGGATGTCTCCCATCAAAAGGAGAAAAAATTGAGTTCTTTCTCCCTCAAAATCTCTATAAACTGTCTTCACAGAGTACAATGTAATTTTTGTCACAGCACTCCCAATAGTTGAAATGAAACACTTTCTCTTTGTGGAACAAGAGGAAGATGGAGGGAGGGAGGAAGGGGGTGGGTGGGTTGGCCTAACAAGAGCCGCTTGGACTGACATTAATTTCTTTAAGCTCATGAAGGTCAGTATCCCGCTTTGCTGTAGAGGAATGTCAAGCATCCCTGGGCACCTCTCTAATTCAATTACTGGTTGCTCCAACTCCAGTAATTCCAAATCCACCCAGGTCCTCACTCTGACTATGAATCCCTGCTTCCCTTTTGTCTTCCTCCCGCCGTATTCAGGCAGGCCATGTTACTTACAGTCGTGCTTGACATCTAGTGATGTCTTTACATGCTAGATGTGTAAGACAACACCCTGATTCACTGAGGAAGATAACCTCTGTTTTAGACAGGGAAAAGCTGCCAGTGCCAGGGGTGTTGTATTTCCCTCCCTGCTATTTACTGCGCGTGGGAGATTTCTCCTGTGGTCAGCATGGCTGCTGTGCCCCAGCTATACGTCTGCACACTGATCTGTTGGCAGACAAACAGCCAGCTCCTGCGCACACAGTCAGGCTTTCTCTACTTCTTTTTCAGCTTTCCCCGTTCTCTCTCTCTCTCACTCCGGGCTTTGTTCTTGCTTTCCTTACACTGTATCTGATTCCACCTGTCTCTATCCCTGCCTACACCTTACACCTCGTTTTTTTTTTTTTCCTCCCAAGCTTGCTCTCTCCCTCGCTATCTCTCCCTTTGTCAGGGGCCTAATGTGGGACTGCAAATGAAGCAGCTTGACTTCCATCTCAGGCTACCAGGGATCAATATGTGTTGCTCACTATCAGGCAGGACACTCTCTACCTCTCCGATGCTCTCACGAGGGAGGATGGCCAAGCAAATGAAACGCCCTCAACTCCTCGCACGCAAACATCGCACAAAGGGCGACATAATTCAGCTTTTTAGTGTCCGTATTTACTACATAATTTGAGCAGCAAACAATAGTGACAAAATAACGTGGCTGTAACCGTGTCTCCTTAAGCAGACGGGTCTCTGAAAGAAAAGCGGTGTCTGCATACAGTGCAAAAGATAAAGAGGTATGTGAACAAAGTGCGATAATAATAAATCACTTTTAGCATGAAGCCTTACTGTGCAGACTAATAGGCTCTGACGTTGCGGTGTAAGCGGTCTAACTGCAGGAAGCAATAAAGCCTGACATCTAAGAAAAAAAAATACACTGTGTTGGTACAAAAAAGCAGCCAAAATAAAGATGAAGTGATGACTTCTAGATGCAAAAAAATGCAAAAAGGAAGCCACAGGAAGCCAAGCGCCACAGGACAAACAGGGTTGCCTGGGAGTTACCTGGACAGGTGGCCACACAGGCACTTTTCTGGACGTTCTGCCCCTCACAGGATGTGCCTCCATTCAGTGGCGTGGGGTTGGTGCAGCTCCGACTCCTCTTCTGCCAGCCACGCCCACACACGGCACTGCAGGACGACCAGGTGGTCCACGTGGACCAGCCACCGTTGACTGTCAGACCAGTGCCAAGGGAGGAGGGGGGGATATGGAGGGGTGAGGTAAAGGGGGAGGAAGGTTGTGAGGGAGGGAGGGTTGGATGAATGAAGGGACAGAGCAGCCAGGATTACCCGACATGCACTAAGGAAAAATAGGCGCGCTGCACTAGAATAATCAAGACTGCTGTTACGCTCTTTGCAAGGTGAACAAACAGAAGCGCGAGAGCAAAAGGGTCGCTGGAGCTACACGAACTGCAGTGGAAACAAAATGGCTTCAACAGGGAGCAGAAAAATCGGACGGCGCTTTCCCGGTTTCCCCTCTGAGGAAGGCTGCGAAATAACTCGTGGGCACGTTACATATCAGAATCTCCCCTCTGAATTTCACAGAGATAATACGAGGATATAATAACATAATTGTAAAGCCATTCAATTTAAAACCACACTGTCACAGTCATACATGCGTAAAAGCAACAAAACCATCAACAACGTCTCCTCCTGGGAACAGCCAACACACTGCTGAGATATAAATGCATCACGGTTGTTCCACATATTCGGACTGCGTCCTTCACACGTTCGCCGCTGATTTCACACCACAACATATCATTCAACGAAATCAAGTAGGCTTATCTTTGAATTGGAGAGACCACCGCTGTATAATTCATTCCTCTTTTATTTTTTTTAAGACGAGAAACTCAAAAAACTCTGAATTTCTGTTATTATCGCCACTTGTCAGAGCAAACTTTAACCATCCATTGCAACTTAATTGGTACTATGTCTCTCAATCATGCCAGGCGATTACATCAAATCATCCTGTATCTACCGTGTTTCCTCAGACATTCCTGATTTATTGACTTGAACAGCACTGTCGTTCTCTCTCTGTACATACTCCCTTCCTAATTTCCCCCTAACACTCCCCTCTGTGGCTGAGTCGTGGCTGAATCATTTCCTTGCCCTCTCTTTGCGATTGATTGCCCACCACAGCGAGGTAAATTGCCAGGCAACTCGGCCCCTGATTACCTCTTAGAACAGAGTGCAGTCACACCAGCCAGGCCTCGTTAAAATGCATCTCTGGCCCCCTGTTGAACCCCCTTTGAAAAGTAGCAGTTATTATGACTTGCTACATATAGCTAGATTAACTAGCACAGTAGACTGTGGTACCTTCAGCTAACTGATTTTTTTTTCTCTTGAACTCAGAGCAACGCAAGTGAAAAGCAGCAAGAGTTTCTTTTGTTTGGTTGAGGTTTTTTGTTTAGCTAAAAACCCTCTCTCATCCTAAACCAGTGCTGCGACAGTAATAAACGTCATCAAGCAAACAGTGTGATGGAAACAAATAAAATTGCACATGCAAGCAACTCAGCAATTTGTTCCCAACTTTCTGGGTCTTTGCGTGGAAATCATTGTTTGACAACACAAGAAAGGCAAAAAAAAAAAAAAGAGTGCGTATGGTCATGCCTTCACAGTTAATTCAGCCCTAGATTGCTTCTTTACATCTTTTAACAACAAGCTAATCAATTAGGAATAATTGTGCTTCTTTAGTTTTATGCTGGAGGCTTAGAGGAATGTATGATAATGTGTTCTGACTGCATGCTCCAAATTAACACATTTTTTGTGTGAAAATGCACGACTCAATTTGCAGCTGCATTTAAAGCCGTAACGCTCGGACCCCCTTTGGGTTTGTTGAATTACAAAAAAGAAGAGAGAATTAACCTAATAAAACGAAAGCTTTTTGACAAAGATCTGAAACACACTTGGCTCACTTACTGTTTATTATGCTTTTATTGTTAAATATTGATTTGATGATTATGTTCATTAACTAAAATCATGCAAACACTTTTTCTCTCACTCGAATTCATCTAAATTGGTGCACAAAGACTCTAAAACCACATTCAGGTCATGTTTTCTTAATGGGATTTCATCCTAAAAGCCAAAATTCAATGAGGATTTATACAGACGGGCATCTTCCACATATTTTTAAAAGTCCTCATAGTTTTCTTTTGAGACAAATGTTATTTTTCCACCATACAGCAAGTTTACATTATACAACTATTCATCTTAACATAATTTCATGATAAGACATAAAGACATATGAAAAGATACAGATTCAAAGGACTCCATGAATTCCTGTGAAAAACTAAGTACACCCAATGATTCAGTCACTGAAACACCTTTAGCAGCAGTAACTTTACATAATTGTTTTCTGTACGACTTCATCAGTCTCGCCTACATGTTATAGACTTGCAGCTCTCCTCTGGATCATTGTCCCGTGCCATGATCTAATTCAGGCCAAGCTTTAGCTGTCAGACAGATGGCTTGTATGTATTATTTTGGTATACAGAGAAGTTCCTGCTTGCCTCAATGACTGCACGGGTTTCAGGTCCTGTGGCTGTAAAGCAAGTGCAAAACATTACCCCTCCACCACCGTGCTCAACAGCTAGTAGGAGGTATTTGTGCTGATAACCTGTGTTTGCTTTTCACTATATGTGGTGTTGTGCATTATGACCAAACATCATTGATCTAAAGAACATTGTTGCAGAGGTCTTGTGGTTTGGTCGTGCTGCCATACTCTTTTTCACTTTTATGAGCCTTTTTTCCCCAGTCTTTCTTTAATTATACTGACTGCAGAATCTGATATGTAGCTCTTGAATTTAAAAAAAAAAGAAGAAGTTTTTCTCTCTTCTCATTACACAATCTGACCTTGGGCTGAATTTATTGGGACGTCCACTCCCAGGAAGACTCTGTGTTAACACACCTGCATGTTCCAGACCAGCAAACTGTCAGAGGTTCTGCTTTTATTGAGGCGCTCACACTTGCTGATGGTCCTTTAATTAAGTGCATTTGATTAGCAGCACCTGGCTGCTAATTACCCTATAACAGCATTAAGGGTGTACTTAGTTTTTCCACAGGACTGAATAGAGTCCTCATTTTGCATTATTATGAGTCAGTGGATTATGTTTAGCGATCACTATTGCCATCCTCGTCTATCCTTCACTACTTAATTTACGAGTATTTATCTATTTACCGCCTTTTATTTTTGATATTGCTTTATTTGAACTGCAACGGCACCATCATGGAGCTGTTACCATGTTTGGCACATTTCATTTTTTGGTTGAATGGTCAAACAGCAAATTCAAAGGCTTTAAAAACCCCACCGTACATCCCAAGTTGCCCATTCTGTGGAATTTATTTGTAAACCTAATCTATATAACTTCCTATTACAATATTACACAGGTATCAAAAAACAAGAACGATTTAAATATAGAAAATGAACAGGTAGTGCCTCTTATTTGTGGCATGCACTGTGTTTTCTGAGCTGATGTGTCAGATAATAAACAAGAACTGCTGCTCTGCCCCTACAGTGCATCGCAGTATCATCTTTCTCTGGCAGCCTTAACTAAAAAACAAAAAAAACCAAAAAAAAAAAAACACACCCCGTGTCAGGCATTGTGTCACATTATCCATTCATTATTCTCAATGTTGTTTTCATCAATCGTTCCCTCGTGATTTCCATCTTCTGTTCGCGTGGAGCTGAGAATTACGCCAGGCTGTAATGTATTTAAAACTTTTGTAGTGCCAGTAGCCGTGGAACCCTCTGTGATAGTAAATATGCTGTTTCTCTGCATTTTAATAAAGGCCAGTCTGCTTATCAAGCCAAGTCATTATTTACAGTTTGCTGTTAATTCAATTTCCCTTCTCATACTGGATCCACTACAGAGGAGGAGGAAGATGGCAGCCTCGACATCAGAGACTGCCAGCTTTGGCAGAATGGCTGCCAGTAACATTTTAAGTTGTGGTAATTAATGTGCAGATACACCACTCTCTCTTTATGTAGTGATTTATGAAAGTGTAATTCTTGCGCTGCTGAAAAACAGAGCTGATGTATGCAATTTGTCACCATATGTCAAATATGTGAAACACAGTGTAATAATAAAAAACTACACTGTAAACTCTGAATGTAACAGTATGAAGAGCTGACGGGAGACTTGCGCCCACACATCTTCCGTGCAGCAGCATGCAAAGGTTAATGTGGAAATGTGGGGCAAGGGAAGCGGCGTGCAAGCTTAAAAGGATTCATCCGAGCAGTTTTCTGCGTTTGTATATTTGGAAGCTCAATCGAGCCCGGACCCCGGCACTAGTCTCTGTGCACAGTTTTGACATCTGCTGAAAGAAGTCGTCACCTACCATAGACAAGGATCGCGGCAGAGGTGCTTTTGCGGCGAGCGACGATGTTTTTGGCCACGCACGTGTAGTTGCCGGTGTCGGCCAGCCGGGCTTTTTTGATGACGAGATTATGGTCGGGCGTGATGACAAAATTGGGGTCACTCGCTGGGTCGATCACATCCTCGTTTCTCTGCCACTCCACCTGAAAACAGATTTCAGCGGTCAAAATCCACTGCAACTCGACAGACAGCAGCTCGCCACCACCCCATACAGCTCTACAGTGGCCAGACATGATGTGGATGAGAGACTTCTACGTCGACGGGTGTATGTGTGTAGGGGGGAAGCAGCGAGGTACTTCTTTTCTGATGCAATCACACAGACAAAAGATGACCAGACGCGGCCTGGTGTAGTACTGAGATACAATTTATTTAACACCCTGCTGATTTGAATATTTATTCGCTTCTTGTGGGGGAAGAGTGCAGCTTTTATTTTGTAGCTGCTGGACGTCTCTGTAGCTGTCCGCGAACACGACTGATCGTGCTTTGTGTAAGTTTCCGGGCCCTCTTGCAAGAAGCCAAAACTGATGTTATTTCTTTTTTGGTGTTCTCTCAGATTGGCTTGCTTGTTTTCTTGCTCTCACTTGACCTTGTTCTGTCTCGAGAGGAGCAACAGTGCGGCAGCATTGTTGTTGGTATTACTGCCAGTTGTGATACCGCATATAATTGGGCCTACTTCCTCTGGTGCACCATCCCCGCTTTCCCCCCGTCGTGACTTCTACTCTGATGTTCTTTTCTGCTGAACTGCGGCTGGCACCTTCCTTCCTATTTCTCTGCAAACTGTCCCTACGCTGTCGATCTGCGATTGGCTAGTCTGTGGTTTCTGGTCTCTGGGCTGTCTGAGCGGCTGGCCTGAGCTCCTCTTGTGCTGTTATTAGAGCAGTTAGTGCCTATCTGGGACCGGGAGGATGCAGCGAATGAGGTGAAACAGCTGGCCCCGGTCTGGTCCTCTAAACACACGCACGGCACGGTGAAACAGAGAGAGAGAGAGCGAGTGTGACTTGAGCAGAACAAGAGATACAGTGCATGGAGAGGCGGGAGAGATACACCGAATGAGATAAGGAAAGAGTGAGGCAAATAGATCCATTAATTATGCATAGGCCTTTAGAGATGCCAAATGGGGAGTGAAGCCTCCAAGCCAATGCTGAGTGATGTGACGAGACGACGTGATATACAGCTTCCCAGAGATGTAAGAGAGATAATAAATCAATAAGGGCAAATAATTAGAGGTGTAATTTATCCGAACAGGGTTGTCTGTTCCCCTGGTGGAATGGAGGGATATGCCAGGGAGCTGATCTTGAGCTACTCTGCGGTCTTTGTCCCCTCGGTGAGGAAAGGGTAAATGGATGGCAGATTCGGGCCTATAAATATCTCCCCTATCCGTGTCTCACCTCGGCTTGTGGCACTCCCTCGGGGGGATGGCAGCGCAGCAACACCTCCTGGTCCAATGCCACCTCTTTACCCTGCGGCTCCTCCTCAAAGTTCTTTCTCAGGTCTTACAAGAAAGAAAAGAAGAAAAAAAAAAGTAGAGAAACAACCAATTAGGATGTGAAAGCTTGCAAAGGTTTGAAAGAAACACTTCTCTCTGCAAATAACTTGGCCTGGTGATGTGTCTAAATTTGCAGCTCTTGAAATGTCCGTCAGTGGCCTCGCCGAGCATGTTGCACTCTAGTTGGCCCCTAAGCCACACTGGGATCGGTGGCACCAACCATGTTGCTTATTACAAGCTGCCTGGCTGGTTCAGAGATGCTTGTCTGCTGCCAGAGGGGCCCGGCATCAAGCAAAAGCAATTGCATTACCCCTCACTCCCACCCACTCTCCTCTCCCCGGCATCCGCCAGCCTCCAGCTTCCATCTGTATGACGGCTTGGAGCAGCCACACGAAAACAAAGCCCTGAGGCGCCTGGACAAGAGCTCCTGCAAGCCTGGCTGACTGCATGGGGCTTCACATTACGTCTCATTGAATACTTACTGTTGCACAAAGTCCTAGTATATATTTGTCTGTAAGCCCCAGCTGTGAATTACACAGGTAAAAACTGGGAACAGTCATTTCTTGCAGGGGAAATAAATGTAGATCCATTTGTATCAGATGAGCCAGACAGGCCGCCGATAGCTGGCGGGACTGGCACAGATTTGATGTGCTCACCCCGGGTTTCAACTCGGAGCGAAGCAATGTGTTATTGTGTTGTAAGAGGCTGAGGGTGCAGCTGTGAGAATTCCTTTAAACAGATGTTGAGCCTGTCCCGACCAATCACACTGAGAGAAAACATTAAGAGAGGCAGGGAGAAACTGACGACATTCGATTTAATTAAAGCTGATAAATTTGGACTGGAGGAGACTTGAGATGTAACAGTGTTGGAAGGCTCGAACCTACGCGAGCGAACAGGCGCGTGCGTGGGAACCTCGCCGATGCGATCGCCTGGTTATGCATCGTTATTCAAGCATGTGCGTGTCCTTATCTTACATCTAACTGACTTTGCTGAGCTCTCACACACGGATGGATAATGAATGTGTGTTTTCAAAACGTCTGGTGGTTTGGAGACGGTGCCGTGTTTGGCTCTGTCTGGAATAATACATATTTATGTGGGAATTAATAGGCGGAATGTTTTAAAATACTCAAATGTAAAATGGCTTCTTCTAATAAAGCTTCTGAGGCTGCGGCGAGGGATGTGTCTGCGTTCCCCAGACAGATTTATGATTGCTGCACAGCAATAAATTTCAAATCTGTTTTTATTTCAGTTACTTTCATAGGGATCATTTCTGATATACTGTATCCAGCAGAAAATATGCTCATGAATACTCAAATTTAGAGCTTCACCCTTTTCTTTTTTAAGACCTTCCTCGAGCAGATACATTATTCTCGGGTTCTTCCTGTCGGGGTTGGATGTTTTCTTCTCACAAGTATCATCACAGGAAGATGATTTAACTAAATTGTAATCACAGTAGTGCACTGTGGTGCAACAGATCATAATGTTCTCTGGGCTAATTGTTAAATGAAAGTTAGTCTCCCCCTCCCAACCACCCAAGGTGAAAACACAATATTCTCTTATTACATGCCGACATGCAATACACAAGCACCTTGTTAGGCAGCAGGCTTTGGATTTGTAATGATGCAGTGCTCATTTGACAGTGCACTCACAAGCAATCCTGATGTATGCTTTCTGGCTCTTCTGGGTTCCGGTGGTGCTCCAGGCGACACACTGACACCAGTACTCATCAAGTCCGAAGATCTTCTCCACCTGCTGCCTGGTTATTTCGATTGTCACCTGCATGACTGGCAGCGCTGGAGAGCAAAAACCCAGAAGAGTCAAAATGTTAGACACAAGACAAGCCCGGCTTTGACAGCAGCAACGAGCTAAGAGGCCAGAAATACTTCTCAAAGGAAAAAATAAAAAAAGAACAAAAACAGAAACAAATGAGCTGAACTGATACCTTAAGTGCATTTTGTACCTTGAACTAAACCAGCAAAGTAAAAAAAGGAGAGGAAGAATAAACAAGCAGAGAACTATAATCATACATAAACAGAGTGCTTGTTAAATGAGAAGAGAGCCTCACAGCTATCCTTGGTGTAATTTGGAGGGCATGAATACAGCAACAGTTAGGAAGGAACAAGGAAGTGCTAAACAAGCACTCGACAAACAAAAATGCTCAACATAATCCACGTCTCTATTATTAAATCCAGGAGGAGGGACGAGTTCAGCATTTCCCCACAACCGTGTTGATATAAGTGACGCCGCTGGAACACGGGGCAAAAGTGGCTTTATTGCTTTTCTAGAGGAATGTAAACAGAAGCCTTCTTTAAACAAAGAAAAATTGGGACAAAATCCAACCCGCTAAACCGTCCAAACAACACAGCGTTGTTAGAGTCGTATCTTTTCTTTTTTCTTATATTTGAGAAGCAATCTTTCATTTCATTTTCTTTTGACCTTCTACTTGGGACTTGTAATCCATGGGTAATTCTTATATATTGAGCTGCGACCTTGATCCCTACCATGTGCCTTACTTTGTCTTCGCCCTGATAAAGAGACTGCCGTGTTTTCCTTGAGCTTCCAGCTTTCTCCCTCCCACCCCATCTTATCTGTTCTCTTTGTTGTCTTTTGGAGAGAGGCGTTCATACGAACACATTTTAGAGTTGCAGAGGACACATCCTGGAGACTAACAGGAGCCGCATACAAAGTGCACTATATTCAGATTTCAATGGAAAGCCACTTTCTAACTTCCATTCACACAAAAGCACTCTGACATACTCTTGATTTGACGGTGACAATCATTTCCAGCTCCAGACTGAACCTGACTGAAGTGAGGCGTGCTCCATTACGCCATCACGACTTCACAGCAAAGAGTATCCGAGCAAACCAGCAAAGCATAAATTTGGGATTTTTTTTTGCTAAATAATTTGAGGCGTACTGCACATGACTGCACGAGCCCAGGCTGGCCCAATGATGACACGAGCTGTCGGCGAGAGGAGGAGGACGGGCTCCACCGCCGGAGGCCACACAGAGTGATAAGTAGCTGTGAGGGTCACTGGCAGACCGCCATGTATTAGTGTCTAAATGCGGCGGATTTTTTGCTATATGTGATCACAGTAAATGTGAGTCCATGTGCAGTGAATCCAGCCCCGAAGCACCACTCCGAGCATCAACAACACCTCGTGCTGTGTGCAACATTTCACCAACATGCTCGCTCGCAGTTAATTTAAAAAGTAGAGAAAGTGATCCTCTTATGTTTACTCTGCCTTTTTACAAAGCCTGCCAGAGACTGTCAAAAAAAGTTAGACTCAATTCCAACACGAGACTGGATTGAGAAATCCTCGTTTATTCTTTCTCGTTGTCTTTCTGAAGGTCCACTACCTCTATTAAGCATGTGTGTTTGTTCTCCGTGTGTGCAGCAAGAGTGTTCGGCGCAGGCTGAGAGAGCACCTAAAAGCTAAAGAAATGGCTAAAGTAACAAAATGGGCACTGCAGAGCATGAACAAATGGAGCATAAGAAACCTTCCTTCCTTCTGCAAATAAGCGGCATGGGGAAATTTGGCTTTTCCTCTTAAACACGTACACGTGTACGCAACAGCAGTAGCTTTAACTTTACATACATCACTTAAGGATTACGCTTATTTCAGCAGCTACATCTTATAGATTCCAAAGAAAAAAAAAATTAAGCACAGTACTAAATGAAATGTCAAACTCAGGAGAGCAGCGCTTCTTATTGGATGTATATTTACTTTTGCAGTAATGTGCAAATTCTATCTTGTATGCCAGAAAGCGCTTTGAGAGGGAGAAGTTGCACATTTTATTTTTGCTGGTGTACACAGCAAGTGTGTACTTGTTCTTTTGTGCATGTAAGTAATAAAATCTATGAAACGCACATTATATATGGGTGAGTACCTGCTGCAGAGCAAAAACTGGGGAAAAAAAAATTAATGTAAAGCATGCACTAAAACCTGAACATTAAACGAACGTTTATTTTGAGGAATCTGTACAGAAACATCTGATCGTCCTGACTTACATTGAGCTCACAGCAAGCAGTTTATGCGCGCAAGCTAGAAAAATATATTTAAATACATGAATTTGAAATTTGGTATAAAGTGATATTCAGTGCTCGGTATGGCTCAAATTACAGTAGCAATTCGTTTGATTAATGCAAACCTTCCTCCTTCTTTGAGCTAGGGGGTGAAAGGAATAAAGATCAGTATGGAGATGCAAAGCATGAACAATAGCAACCTGAGGTGAGAAATCCTAAGAAGAGCAATTTGAAGCTCTGCTTGCCAGGGTAATTGCATTCTGTTTCCTTATCTTTTCCTGTCTCCATAATTACCTGCTTTCTGTGTCTGACACCTTCCAGTAACACTGCTGTGAGTCACTCTGTCCAATTTCACTCCAATTAATAAGTAGGACAAAATAATCTCATCACTTTGAGGACAAAACGCGTCTGTAATTTTACAGCAGTTTATAACGATCGGACAGGCTGCTATTTACTGTTGTTTTCCCCAAAGTCTGCTCCATCAACACAGGTATGAGTAAAACAAAACTTTATGAAAATGACTCAGAGACGACTGACGGAGAAACCACATTATTGATTCCTAGAAAGCTGTCCTTCTGAAAGTGGAGCACCGCCACATTTATGACTCAATTATATTAATATTGATTTATAATAGTATGCTCGCCGCCTTCAAGGTGTTAGGAACGGAAAAGAGGAAATTTACACTTCCTTGCCTGAAAGTGTGCACTTAACATTCCTGTTAAATGATAATTAAAACATGGCACGATTCCTGCAGCCTTTGGTTTGATCTGCAGCCCATTTTCTAAATGAGCTCACATCCCAAACCTCAGTGAAATAAGTGAGAAAATTTTAAAGGGTGATTATGTGATTGACACAGTGTGAATCCAGTGCTGGATCCTTTCTACATTTTTGTAGAGCAGTGGGATAACTTACTAGGCCACATTTGAATACAATTTCTGGAAAGTACACTTCACTATTGTAACACTGCATGGGAATAAATTGGACTGGGAAAAACAGAAAAATAAAACATGAACACAAATGCCACCAGCAGTGGAGTCCTCTCCTGTGGTAATTAATATCACTTTTCACACCAACTACCCGCCTGACAAGCTTTAAAGCTGCAGAAACAAAGAAAAAGCATATGCACTCACTGGGCACATCATTAGGTGTACCTGTTCAAATACTTGTTATCAGCCAATCACATGGCAGCAACTCATTGCATTTAGGAATCTACTGGGATTTTCCCTGCAAAGATTTACAGAAATGATATCTTATTGGTCGGAGGAGAACGGCCACACAAGGTTATAAGAAGCTAACAGTAACTAAGACAACCACTTGTTACAACCAAAACATGCAGAAGAGCATATGAATCCACACCATGTTGAACCTTGAAGCAGATGGGCTACAGCAGCTGAAGACCACACTGGGGTCCACTCCTGTTAGCTAAGAACAGGAAACAGAGTCTGTAGTTCACACAGGGTCACCAAAATTGGAAAAGCATTGTGTGATCCGATGAGTTGGCAGGGACAGAATTTCTCATAACATCAATACACGGATCCATCCTGCCTTGTATCGAGTTTCAGGTTTGCACTTGTGGAGTAATTGTTCTGGGGACCATTTCTTGGCACACTTTGGGCCCCTTAGCGCCAACTGAGCATTGTTTAAACACCGCAGCCTACCAGAGTACTGTTGCTGATCATGTCCGTGCCTTTATGACCACAGTGTACACATTTTTTGATGACTGCTTCCAGCAGGGTAACGCACAAAGCTGTCACAATGCTCAAATCATCTCAAACTGGTTTCTTGAACATGACAATGAGATCACTGTACTGCAACGGCCTCCACACCTCCATGTCAATAGAGCACCTTTGGGAGATTCACAGCTGACAAATCCAGCATCTTGGTGAATCTATGCCACGAAGAATTAAGGCAGTGCTAAAGGCAAAAGGGGGTCCGACCCAGTAGTAGAAAGGTGCACTAACATATACAGGGTGTATCGTCATAAAGACTCATCCGACTTCAACGTGCTTTATTTCCATGGATGTTCACTAGTAACGATCGAAACACATACTGTCAGAAAGGGGGGATTCGTGAGTTCCACGTGGTTGCCAGTAGGTAGCTTAACAACAGCAGTGACTCCAGACATGCTTGCAAAGTATGGGACGAGTTTGACTATCGTATGGACAGATTTATCTATATCTCTATCGATTGATCAATAGATAGATATAAAAAAGAAGTACAGATAGCTCTTCATCTTAAACTTTTGGCTTCATATAAAATTTGAATTCTGCTAATCTTCTGCTTGATGCATTCACAAATCGTTTCACTACTTGTACTACTTTAAACGGCTCACAAGATATTCTCTGCATGATGAGCTGCATTTTTTTAAGGCGTGCAAATGGAGCCTGGTCTACCAGAAGTCTAGCTTGTTCTTAGAAAGCCTAAATAACAATATCCTTCTTGGAATTTTGTCAAGTGATCCTGAAAACAGACTGACTTGTGCCACCTGAATAAATTCTAAAGTTAATTTTAGCAAACTTGAATTATTAAACACTAAACCGACCCAATCAGAGCATCTCTGATAGCAAAGTGTTGTTCCTTGGTAATTATTTAAATTCAAATTTAAACACATAACAACTGTAAAATAATCATTTGTACATTTGTAGATTTACCTGAAATACATGCAGGGAAGAGTACTGTGCCCTTTTTAGCAGAGTCGCACACACAGGGTGCTTACAAACTCAATTTAAAATAATTTAATAGGGCAATGTAATGCTGCCAGTGAGG